TTAGTGGGGGGTGGGGGGGGGGGGATGCAGTGGTGTGCTTGCTGCATGCTCCGCGCGTTTTGCTAATGCTTGCTGATGCCTTCGATGTCGGCCATCCCACCTGTGCAGGTGGATTTCATGCGCCAGAAGTACTGGGAGTATGGGTACGAGGAAGTTGTCACGCCCAACATCTTCAACTTTGACCTGTGGAAGGTCTCAGGCCATGCCGACCACTACCGGTGCGTGCAGCCGAGGGGGGCACCGCTCAGCTTGTAGCATCACTGCCCCAGCGATCAGCAGCCTTGCTGCCGGCCATACCAGAGCAGGGTCAGTTGGGCAACGTCTTCCCGCAGCGGTTTGTTTGCTGCACCCTCACATGCCCATGCTCCTGCGATTGCTGCCGCCAGGGAAAACATGTTTTTGTTCTCGGTAGAGAAGGCGGAGTGGGGGCTTAAGCCCATGAACTGTCCAGGTCAGTCTGTGAGCCAAGGCAGGCGCAGCCCCGCAACGGTTGACGAGCGGGTGATCACACTGCCAGAAGGATGTCAGGCTGCCTGTATCTGAGCTGCAGCCTACGGCATGCACGGTTGTTGCTTTGCTTTCCGGTTGCAGGTCACTGTTTAATGTTTGCCAACCGCAACCGCTCGTACCGCGAGCTGCCGCTGCGGCTGGCCGACTTTGGCGTTCTACACCGCAATGAGTTCAGCGGCGCGCTGCAGGGGCTGACCCGCGTGCGGCGCTTCCAGCAAGATGACGCCCACATCTTCTGCAGGTGGGTTGGCGTAGTTCGCGAGGGAGTGTGGATGTTTGAAAAGGGACGACAAGAAGGGAAGGCAGGCTAAGCAACTGGCACTGTCGGGCCACTGCCGGGGTGGTGCTCCAGCTGGCCGCAGCCCAGCCCCAGCTCCTTCACTGCCGTGCCTGCCTGCTTCGGCGCAGGCAGGACCAAGTCAAGGCGGAGATTTCGTCCTACCTCAAGATGATGGGGGAGGTGTACGACGCGTTTGGGCTGGACTACAAGATGGCGCTGTCCACTCGGCCGGAGGGGTACCTGGGCGAGCTGGAGGTGTGGAACCAGGCGGAGGCGGCGCTGGAGGAGGCGCTGAACGCCACTGGGCGCGAGTGGGAGGTGCGCCTGGCATTGTTTCAGCAAAGAAATGCGGTATGTGCTGTTGGAGCAGCAGGGGGCCTGCCAGGAGTGGGAGCAGCAGGGGCCCTGCATGGCTGCGCGACATGAAACCTGGGGGCCAAGCAGCCCACTTATGGTCAGCCAAGGAGCCAGGGCCCGCCATGCATCTCAGTTTCATGCCGGGCCTGTGGCCTGCAGATGAACCCTGGTGATGGCGCTTTCTACGGTGAGCTGCCAATTAGGCCCTGCCTCGTTGCATTGAACGTGTCCCAGCATGAACGCCCTTGGGTGACACTTACAGCCTGCTCTCATCTTTGGTTTGCGACCCCCCGTGCATCTTCCCTGCCCTCACGTCCGCCGCAGGCCCCAAGATAGACATCACTGTGTTTGACGCGCTGCGCCGCAAGTACCAGTGCGCCACCGTGCAGCTCGACTTCCAGTTCCCCATCCGCTTCAACCTCGAGTATGTAGCTGAGGACGGCAGCCGCCAGCGGCCCGTCATCGTGCACAGGTGCGACATCTTTGCTCGGCTGACTCGGCTGACGCTGGATGCATGCCGAGGAGGATGATGGGCCCTCACCACCCCACCCCTTTGGGCTGTTGTTGCAGGGCCATCCTGGGCAGCGCGGAGCGCATGTTTGCCATTCTGACCGAGCACTGGGGGGGCAAGTGGCCGCTGTGGATCTCACCCCGCCAGGTCATGATCGTGCCCATTTCAGGTGCGGCGAAAGGGAGCTGAAGCTTGGTGGCAGCCCAGCTTGGTGGGATGCAGAGCCAGGCATGACCGCTGGCGATGTCTGCTTCACCCGCCTGCCCGCCCACCTCCTCCGCCATCCCACCTGCCTGCTGCACATCCCACCCCCACCTGCAGAGGCTGTGTACGACTACGCAAGTGCGGTGCGGCGGCAGCTGCGCTCAGCAGGCTTCCACGTGGATGCCGACATGGCGGACCGCAAGATGCAGAAGAAGGTCCGGGAGGCGCAGGTGAGCTGGCAGCTCCAGGCCGTCCCACGAGAGTTGCGGGAAATCGGGGGCAGAGGCTGCACGAGAACTGACGCTCTCGCCTCTGCCAATAAGCGATGATCTATCCGGGACGATGCGCCGGGCAGACCGTGGGCAGAGTATGGCTGCCCTGCCATGCACAGCGAGCAAGGCTGCCCCGCACCCCCGTTGCCTTGGCCTGCCTGCCCTGCCCCGCGTCGTGTGTGCAGTTGTCCCAGTACAACTACATTCTGGTGGTGGGTGAGGAGGAGAGGGTGGCCGGCACCGTCAATGTGCGCACCCGCGACAACCAGGTGCACGGTATGCACTCGCTGGCGGGGGTGATCGATGTGATGAGCAGGGAGAGGAGCAGCCGCAGCCAGGTGGGCCTGTTTGGTGAGGACAAGGCGGCGGCGGCGGAGCCAGCAGCAGACGGAGCGGAGCAGTAATCCTTGCGGTGCGGCTGTCAGTACGCGCTGCAAGCACAGAACTGTGAGATACACTTTTGCATTAATGCGAGGACTCGTTGAGATACCGTGTGCAAGAGCTGAAGTGCCGCCCCGAGCAGCTCTGCGCCCCTGACGAAATTGAGGTCCTAAGGCAAGTCTCTGCTGTTCTTAAGGAGACAGAGTGGCAACTACATGTTCCTGTGCGGCGGTGCTCTTTTCACGCGAGAAACATGTGGTGTCCCAAATTGGATGGTCAGCGCTGCACTATAGCACTCTAGCAATGGCAGGCCCCTAAGGCTCCACCCTTAGTGGCCATGCGCAAGCCTTAGTGTTCTTCAGCGGCGCCACCCTTCAGCCCCGCACTGGCCGCATGTCCCTGCCCTCGCCCCGCGGGCGTCACCGGGCAGCAGCATCCTGCACAGGCAATCCTACATAGGCAAAGGCAGCCATGAATCTGTATTAGACCGCAGCATGAGTCTAATGCCCACCGGCGTGCAAGCAACCAATTTTGCCATGGCAGCATGCAGACAGCTATTTCTCTCCAGCCAGCCAAGTTGCATCAACAGCAGGCGTGGCCCCCCTCACCTGCGTACGTCACTGCGTTCTGCCACTGCAAATGCATGCACTCCAGGATGAAGCTCTGCAGGCTCGAGGTGTCTCGCGCGTGATTGTCGGCATGGCGCAACACCTGCTGGTAGTGCTGGGGCGCTTTGCTGTGCCCGTTGGACAAGTGCAGCATGAAGGGCACGCCCGCTGCGCGTGCCGCATAAGCTGCCAGCAGCCTGCCCATGCGCCCGTTGCCGTTCTTGAATGGATGCAGCGTGACAAAGCGGTACAACAGCTCCGCTGCAAGGTGGCTTGGCACGGCGTCGGTGGAGCTTTCGACCGCGTTGAAGTTGTCCACTATCTGCTGCAGCCGCTTTGGGATGGTGTCGGCTTCCAGGTACACGTATCCTGTGCCGGAGTATGCTGGCGTAGTGCGCAGCTGCCCTGCTGCCAGCAGCGTGCCGTCGTCCTCTATGGCGCCCCACATCATGAGCTTGTGGGCCATGCATATGCGCTCAACGCTGAGCGGTATGCTGAGCGGACTGCACAGGTATTTTGCTGCCTTGAGGGACTGCAACATCTGCTGCCTGGTGGCCCAGTTGCTGCCGCCGCCTTCTGCTGGCCAACGCACTGTCGGCGCTCCCTCCGGCTCGCTGTCCTGCGTGCAGTCCAGCTCCTCTTCCAAGAGCTGGTAAATTGCCCTCTCATCGTATTTTGCTGGGAGCGTGCTCTCCAGCTTGTTGAAAATGAGCACGAATGCCAGCAAGCTTCGTTTGCTGAACATGGCCATGGCTTGGAGCCCGTCTAGCCGTTGCTTCGCAGCATCGATGCCTGCCCACAAGGTGGCAGGCGAGTCCCCTGCATCCCACCACGCAAGGGTTGGCAGGGCGTGAGCCATTCTGCATGGACAGGAAAAATAAATCGCCTAAGGTACAACGGCGGCAAGAGCACTGCTGAGCAAGGTACAACAGACTCTGCCAGGCGCCTCTACGAGGGGTGGGCGCCGCCATGACGCAAGGGAGCCGTGCTGCTGCCTCTCACTTTGGCGCGCCCAGTTCCATAGTCTTGAGTAACCAAGAGCTTGTTCGCAACTCCTTCTGTCCTGCACCAAAACCACAGCAAACAAAACGCGTGAAAAAGGCACCGTGAAAAAGGTGCCAGGTAGACTGAAGCTCGGCACGAGCGGCAGCAGCGGGGCCAGCCGGCCGCAGGCGGCAAGCGGCAAGCGGCGGCATCGCTCGGCCAGCCACACTCGCTCTGCCCCGCAGTGACTGAACAGTACATGCTCATACTCGACGCACATGCTTCCTCAGCCATAACCCTGTTTAGCTCTAGAGGCAGGGAAAACTTTAGCGTCCGTAAACGCGTACCTGACGAACTTTTAGAGTTCTCAAGGCGAATCCGGATCACCTCAAGGCGAAATACGGATCACCTTGGGGCTGCATGCGTCCCGAGGGACGCATTTAAATTGTGACAGTGAATTTCAACTGTACCGTATGTGTACCTTGCCCTGAAGTCCTCTCCTCTGGCTGCTCTCGAGTATCATTGCCCGTGCTCCTTGCTTGCTTCCTTTTCCGAGCCGCTGTGGCCGACTTTTCTGCAATCAGCTTCACTCCTGCTCGACGCCGCAGCGGAGCAAAGCGCACGCGAGGGAGGAGGAAAGATGGCGGACACAGCCCCTATGGAGGTGGGCCGCCGATCAGGCCCAGAGAATGCCATGCCGGAAGGGCTGCTGTTCCCTGCTCCTCCCACATCCGCAACCGAGTGGCGAGCACGATCACACAGCGTGGAGAGCAACCTCGCCCTGCCCCGCCCCACTGGCGCCGCCACCCCGCCCACCACGACGGCACTGGTGCCCTTCATATGCACACTCTCCGAATCTCCAAGCTGCTGCAGGTGGAGGAGCCACAACAGCAGGAGGAGAAGAAGGGCAAGGGCAAGGCCAACGGCAAGCGCTTCGAGATCAAGAAATGGAACGCCGTGGCCATGTGCGTCCTCCGGACTGGTGCTCCGGTCTGGGTGGTGGACTGGCGAGACACTGTGGTCCTGTCGATCAACCAACGATTGCCCAGCCGGGCATGGCTTCTGTGCCATTGATGTCTTGCCCTGCTTCCAGCCGAGCCTTCACCTGGTGGACGAGCGCTGTGGTGCCGCAGGTGGTCGTGGGCCATCTGCACTGACACCTGCGCCATCTGCCGCAACAACCTGTACGAGCCGAGCATAGAGTACCAGGCCAACCCCACAGGTGCGGCGCGGCGTGCTCCTCGTTGTAAGCCCGATGTACCTCTACCGGCACGCACCTCTGGCCTGCGTGGCATGCAGCCGGGGCTTTGCTTCCAGCGATCAACTGCCTTCCCGTCTGCAATTGCCAGTCTGTGCATACATCACCTGGTGCCTTGATTTGCCCTGACCTGTAGGCGATGCCGACCATCCCGGGCTGAGCATTGCGTGGGGCACCTGTGGCCACGTGTTCCACCTGGACTGCATCCAGCGATGGCTCAAGACGCGCTCCGCCTGCCCGCTGTGCAATCGCGAGGTGAGCTGTCGCGCCTGGCGGCCGCGGCACCAGCTGCGCCTGCCGTCGGCAGCTGAGCATGCTCGCTGTGCTGCACCCCCTTCTTGTAGTGGGAGTTCTCCAAGATTGAGCGTATCGTGGGTGGCTCCGCGAACGCCGAGTAGCTAGAAGAGTGCTGTGTGGGGGGTGGCATTCCTGCGAGCGCCAGGGCGGCCATGTCTTGTGCAGCAGGGCACCATCTTCCTGTAGTCATATGTAACATAGCACGTTCTTGTGGCAGGGCCGCCGCCCGGCTGGCGTTGCCGCCACCATGCACCAAGAAAAGATCCAGCATGCTCATCACATCTTTTCTTGTCGCGTTCATCAAACGTCTGGGCGCAGCGGCCGGAGCACGTTTGCAAAGAGAGGTGGAGCATGGGCGAGGTGGGGGACCTGGACGTTTCCAAGCTGCAAGGAGAGCTCCATGAGCTGAACAGGCAGCGCGTGCAGGTAGGCCCTGTGTGCCCAGGCAAGCTGATCATGCCGTCCACCACATGTGAATGATGACAGTGCCTGCCCTGTTTGCAGGTAACCGAAAGGCTGCGTATGCATGGCGGCGGAGGGCGTGGGTCCTTTCCCCCAGGAGCACCCCGCGACCGGCCGCAGCGCCCACCACAGGCAAGCTGAGGCGCCCAAGAGGCTATCTGAGGCTGCAAAGTGCCCTGCCCACTCGCAGGATCGCGGGCGCCAACTCAAACCGAGCCGCTGGCGGTGGTGCTGCTTTCGTCGACCGGCTGCTCCACTTCCAACCTTAGTGAGGCCGGGCACTGATGGCTAAATCCCTGGCTTGCAGGATGTGCGACCTGGGCCTGGCGATGGCCCATGGCCCCCGCTCGAGGAGCAGAGCCGGCGTCCCAACCTCTCGTCGGTGGTGGCGGCACCGGTCAACGATGGTCCAGACAGGAAGCGGCCTGCGGAGGGGTCGCTGCTAGAGGAGAACGTGGATGTCAAGCGGCGCAACAAGCGTACGTTCCTGAATTCTAATATGTGCAGTGCTTTGCCCCCAGTAATGCTAACAACCTGCCTGCTTTTTACTTGTTTGTGTGCAGGCCTGTTTGGTGCCATCCTGGGCACGCTGCAGCGCTTCAGGTGCACAGCGTCGTAATTCAAGCAGCTCAGCTTGGGGACACATGGATGGCCGGCTTTCGCAGCTACTCGCATGCACCTGCAAGCCTTTCTGTACCATTCCTGAACTGAGTGCAGTCGCGAGGAGGAGCAAGCCAAGACCACCGCGGCGGCGCAACGACGTGCTGAGCTGGAGCGCAAGGCTGAGGAGAAAAAGGCAGAGGAGGGCCGCCGCCTGCGTCAGCAGGCGCGGGATGAGATGCGGCAGATGAGGTACGCTTGTTGGTAGCATTGACGAGTCGAAGTATGAATAGAGAATGTCTGTTTACTATACCACTTGTGTGGTCCTTGGATCAAGCACAGCCCTTGTTGCTGCGCACCTGGTCCCACTGCGGATTCCCTGCCCGCCATGAGGCTGTGCAGGGAGGGCGATGTGGCACGCAAGCGGCAGATTAGCGCCCAGGCGGCCTGCAAGCGCCTGGAGATTCTGTATGCGACAAGGCTTGCGCGTGCGGATAAACTGAGCTCCCGCTTCCTGCTGACCAAGACGGGCCCGCGGCTGTACTGGTGCCCAGGCAAGCCCTGCAGCGAGCTGGATAGGCTGGCAGAGGTGCAGCAACAGGAGCATGTGGCATGGAAGGCAGCGCAGATGGAGCAGCTGGAGCAGGAGAAGGCACAGCTGTTGGAGCAGCTCACGCGGCGGCGGTGGCCGGAGCAGCGAGGGCAGCAGGGCGAGAGAGAGGCGGCAGGGCATGGAGAGCCAGATGAAGAGGATGCTGAGGAAGAGGAGGGGGATGCTGACATGCAACACACGGCTGGGGCAGCAGACCAGGATGCAGATGGGGCAGAGGAGGGGCGGGATGGGCTGGAGGTGGAGGCGTCAGGGGAGCAGGAGCAGGCGGCAGACATGGAGGCGAACGGCGAGGAAGTGCTTGCCACTGCTATTGACGCCCAGGCCATCTAAGGCATGCATGCACCGTTTCTTGCTGTGAACATGTCCACTCTCGGAAAGCATTAGAAAAGACCTTGGCCGAGTGCTCGCCATCAGGACAGCGAACCAACAGCATGCATCTGCGGAGAACAGGCCTCAGACATCGGCAAAGATACACACCTGCCAGTCGAGGTCCAAAAGAGCGGCCTCCAGGCGGCTGGTCACCGCCTTGAGCGCGGCAATCTCGCCCTGGCGCCGCTCAATTATGGATGGTGCCACAGGCAGCTCAAGCAGCTCCCATAGCTCGCTCTGCTTCCTTGCCTCGTGCTCAAGCCGAGCGTGCAAGTTGCCAGCGGCGCGGTAGAGGTCTGACGTCAGACGCGCGATGGTGGTGTCTGCATTTGCGCGCCAGGTGTAGAAGGTGCGAGAAGGGGCGCGGTCATTGGTGCGCGGCACGTCCTGTAGCGCCAGGTAGCTGCATGGACGAAAATGGAAGTGGGGCGGGCAACAGCGGCAGGAGCGGCGGTGAGAAGAGGTGGAACGATGCCCGGCGTCATCCACTAGGGCGAAACGGTTGCAAGGGCTGGTAGCCTGGATGCTGCCGCTCACCCGCCCTTGAGCATGGCGTAGAGCGCCTCCCGTGCCTCCTCCTTGGTCACCATCGCCAGGTCGGCCACCTGCTTCTGCTCCAGCTGGCCGTTCAGCAGCAGCAGGCGCCAGATGCGCATGCCTGCCACGCCAAACTTGGTTCTGCAGAACATACTCAGGACAAATGTGTGACGGCAGGCACGGAGCTAGAGGGGAATGGCCCCTGACATGCAGAAGTGAACAGGTCCCCTATAGCTTCACCTGATCACCCCCTTCAGCTGGTACAAGCGTGCAAACCGTAGCACCCTGGAGATGCTCAGCACATACTGCTCCCCGCCAGGCCCGCTCCCCCGGCTCTCCAGGAAGTGCATGTCGTCGTCAGCCAGGTCGCTGCAGGCCAGCACGCAGGCATTGACGCCATCTTCCCAGGCAAAGGCGGCAGGAAAAGATGGCTGCTGGCGGGCACCGCATCTCCACAGGGCATAAAAAGCCCCATGCCGGTTGCAGCGCTACAGGCCTTGTTTACGGATCCATCCTGCAGACAGAAAATGTATCGGCCTGTACCTGAGCACGCACGCCAGGTTATCTGGTGGGTCCTCATTGCTATGTATGCGCCGCAGGGCGCCGCTCACATCGCCCACAGACAGCACAACGGTTTCTTCACAATGCGCCTGCAACCAACCATTGGGCTCAGCGACTCAGCCCGATTTCAACCTCTGAGAAAGCGGTGGATCTGGTAGCCGTTGTATTGACGGCACCTGTGCCTCACCGTCTGCTCAAAGCACGCATTGGCTACCAGCAGGCCCTCCACCGCCTGTCCAGCGTGCACGCCATACTTGAGCTTCGCAGTGCTGACAATCACGTCGTTGCGGAACCTGGAAGTAAGGGCTTACGATGCAGTTAACCTCAAAAACAGACAGCCACGCCATGAATCTGCGTGACGGGGCAACAGCAAGCCCAGGCGCTGCCGCCGCTGACAGCTGAACAATGGAGCGTCCCCTCACACTCACCGCCGGTTGAACTCATCATAGTTGACTCGCCACAGCACAGGTGCCTCCTCGTCTCCTGCTGCCGCTGCCTGCGCCGGCAGAGAGGCAGCACTGCCACCCTCCGCTCCGGCCTCGCCCGCCTTCTTCCGCTCGCGCTTCTTTGCCGGCTCTGCTGCAGCGGGTGGCCAGGACGAGAGACAGTAGAGTCAGTAGCATAAATCAGCTGGCAGGTGGCATATACAATGTCACGCTGCACCCAACATGCCACGAAAAGGCACACAACTGCCACACCAGCCTACCTTCACTGCTTGCTGCTGCCGCATCCTTGCCGCCCCGCTTGCGCTTCCCAGCAGGCTTGGCTTGCGCATCGACCTCCACGGCGTCACCACTAGGCGACATTAGCTCGCTTGGAAGCCGGAAGCGAACTGCAAAGAGCAGACATCAGGCATCAGGCGACCGTTCTGGCGCTGAGCAACCCGATCGACGCGCCGGCCATAGAAGGCAGCATCCCATGTGGAGTTACAGTCCGACAGAAAGCGCGTCCCACCCACCCACCTTGCTGGTAATCGTGCCGTAGGGCGGCGTCTGCCTGCTCGCGGTGCATGTCGGCCTCCTCCTCGCTGCCGGGCTTGGGCGGCGCCTTTTTCTTGCGTGCATTCGGGTGCACCTGCAATGCAGGGTGGCAGCGGTTGGGTAAGCGCAGCACCAACTATCTCGGCTGCACCTTGCAAGCATCACCTGCGCAGCCAGGAGGCCCTCAAAGGAGGCCACATCAAGCACGTGCAAAGCACCCCAGCAGGGAGGCCATCTAGGTCAGGATAGCTCACGTGCTGCGGGGGCGGCGGCAGCGTGCAGGGCGGCACGCGCTCAATGTAGCGTTGCATCACCAGCGAGCGGAACTGGTTAAGTAGCACGCCGGGGGCGGGCGCCGCCTCGCCGCCCTCCTCGGCGCTCTCGCGGACCACTGCCTCCAGCAGTTGGTCCCACCTGCGGCGGGCGTGCAGGGGCATAAGCAGCCTCCTCAAGGCGCACAGCTTCCAGCGGGCGGGCGATATGCGTGCCGCCAACAGACTGGGGCCCAAGAGAACAGTCTGGGGTCCTGGCCACCGAAATGGCTGCGCACCTCAGCCGCCCGTGCTCAGTCAGGTTGCGGACCAGGCGCACAGACTCCTGGCCGTGCTCATCGGAGATATGAGTCATGAACCTGGGCACCCTGCATCACAGCGGCACCAACCGGTGCACAACAGTTCAGCAGTGGCAGGGTGGCGGTTGCTGTCATTGCACTCACAATGGGAGAGGAGCACAGCCCCCTCCATCGCATCCTGCTGCGCTGGGCTGGCGCCGGCTGCCCCGGGCTGGCCAGCCCACCTCAGGCTCTGCAGAATGCGGGGCAGCGCCGCCTCGTAGAGCGTGTATGAGGGGCCTGGGCCGCGCAGCGTGGGCGGCTCCTCCTTGAGGTAGCAGTTGACATAGTTGTGCTGGATGAGCACCAGCACCGCACTGCTCAGCTGGCCAGCGGGTAGGCCTGAGGTCTTCAGCAGCTCGCCATACTGCAGGGGGTAGGGAGGGGTGGGGGTCGTGGCGGCAGGCAAAGGGGGCGTGGAATGTTGCGGGCGGCGGCATCGGGGAGCGCCCGATGTAGGCTGGCCGGCCGTTCCCCACCTGCTGCATGCCGTGGTTGATCAGGCAAGCTATGGCCTGCTCGCACACTGGGCCAAGAATCTCGTGTGTCAGCTTTAAAGCCAGGCGGCATGCAAAGGGGCCTTTGCTGGCTGGCGCGGCCGCCAGCGGTGGCGGCGGCTCCGCCATGCCCTGCAGCTTGGCGGCGGCCGATGGCGGCGAACGGCGGTGCGGGTGTTCCCCTCTCCCTGCTCTCCGCTCGCCGAAGCCTGAGCCGTAACACGGGAGGGCACGAGTCCGCACACGCACAGATCGGCGCGCGGTTTATAGCTAATAGACCCAACCCAGTTTGTGATACGAAATGCGGTTGCCTCGATCAGTTCTCTGCTGCGGGATGTACTTGCTGCCGCGGCGCAGTACAGCACCTTGCTGCGATTGCAAAAACGGGAGCCCTCTCGTGGAGGATGCCACTCTTGCTGTTACAGATCAATGACAGCATGCACTCTGTGTCAAGAAGTGGGCCAGGCGTAGTGCTATGCCACCACTGACATCCAAGGTGCGCTATTCAACCTCGTCGTCCGAGTCCAGCACTGCCTGGTGCTTGGCACGCTTTGCTGGTGGCTCTGCTGCCCCTGCATCCGCGCCGCCCTCATCCATATCGAAATCACTGTCAAAATCGTCCTCCAAATCGCCGGCAACGCCCGCTGCGGGCTCAGCTGTAAGCTCAGGCGCCGCCGCGCCTGCCTGCGCCGCACCGCCGCCGGCGTCAAAGTCTGGCAAGTCATCCGGGTTCTCTGGATTGTAGTCCTCGTCTTCCTCACTGGAGGCGAAGAGCGCATCAACTTGCGCATTGACTGCTGCCGCCGCCGCATCGTTGTTGACCTTTTGAACCGCCGTTGCATCGCCTGCCGCTACCGCCTGCAGTAGTTGCGAGCGGATGTTGGGGGTAGAGCAGGTGAGTGGGGGCAGGCAATCAAACGTACAGGCGAGGATTTACACTCAAAATCCCAAAGAACCCCGGTGCCGCGCTCACCTTTTGCATGGTGGCATTGGTGCGCCACTGTTCCTGCAGCTGCCTGAGCCGCTCAACATTGCCGCGGGCCTGCTCCTCCTGCTTCCGCCGCTGAACGCCCTCTTCCGCCTTGCGCCGCTCCTCGGCCAGGCGCTTCGACGTCTGCAGACAGGCAGGAACAGTTGACCGGACAGCCAGTGCTGGATGTAGAGCCATCGGAGGTCTCAGCAGCTAGTGCAGAGTGCAGGCGGGTGGCCATCACCACTGCACACTCACCTCCTGCGCGTTCTTCTCAGCCTGTGCTGCTGCCTGCCGCTGCGCCGCCTTCTGCGCATCCTCACGGGCCCTCTCCAAATGTGCCTGCACAAGGCATTGACGCCAAGGAATGCAGGTGGCTCCCTTGCAGCAATCGCGCCTCCTGCTGCCATCTGCCCTGCGCCTGTGCTGCCTCTAGCGAGCAGGTGACGCCGGCTGCTCCACAGGACTCTGGCCCGCCTGCCAGTCGGGCATTGTTTTCTGACAGCAGCTGGGAGGCCTCACCAGCGCTTTGCCGTGCGTTTTCGCCACAAAGTTGATGTGTTGCTGCAGCTTTCTGGTGTCCAGCTGGTGGCCGCGGCCCAGGCTGTGCAGGTACTGGAAGAAGCGGTGGGCATGCTCCAGGTCGCGCACCGCTCGCCGAAAGTCCTCGTACCGTGAGGGGTCGCCCGCCGGCCGCTTCTTCTGCAGGGTGCGCACCGCCCACTCCTGCAGCGCGCAGGCGCGCCAAATGGTGGCCAGATCATGGGAGGCACGGGACGAAGAACAGTGCGAATGCGGGACCGCTGGAAGACTGCCACGAGAAACTAGGGCGGGGCGGCATCAAGCCCACTGCCAAGTCTGGGGCAGTGCAAAGTGACAGGCAGTGACACCAACCAACACGCATGCCTGCATGGTCACTGCCACGTCGAAGCGCAGCTTGTGGTCTGTGGGCGCCAGGTGAAGCGCCTTGGTCAGCGTGCACTTGGCCTCTGGCAGCTGGTCGGCATCGTACTGCGCCCTGTGCGCAGGGTTATGGCGCAGAGCAAGTAGAAGTTTACACAGCAGAACTGCATCGCTGTGCCCCACCGTGTTCCAAATGACTCATGCTCCAGCTAAAACCGCCCCTGTGCTACCTGGCCAGGTAAAGCATCACCAAAGCGCTGCGGTTGTCGTAGAACTTTCGCAGCGCGTTCTTATACATCTGGATGGCGGCCGTGTACTGCTCCTGTGCCAGGTATACATTGGCTAGGTTGATCCACGCGTCAGGCATGCGAAGGAACCCATCACTTGCAGCAGACGCCTCCTGGACCTGCGACAGGGCAAGACGCGTTTCAAGACAGTGTTACCACAAGCAGCACTGGCTTGAATTGAGCGCTGAAGCTACTGCCATCAGCAGCCCTTACGCACACCTGAAGGAACACCTCCTTGGCTGCCGTCAAGTTGCCAAGCTCTGCTAGGACGCAGCCCACTCCATTGGCAGCAAAAATGCAGCCTGCGCGTGGCATGAGCGCACCAATGACGAGAGCGTGAGGATGAGGTGAGAGGTCAGCCACACAACTAGCCCCCCACCGCCAAGAGATATGGTCTTCACAGTTGCTGTAACCGCCCCCTTTCCTTCCAAGAAACCATCCCTTGTCCTCCTCTGGCTGTAACCCGGCACACCTTCATCCTTCTCCAGCACGCGGCGGTACAGCTCCAAGGCATGGCTATAGTGCACTTCCGCCTTCTTGGCGCTGTCCTCCTTTCTCCGGTCTGAAGGCGCGGAGTAGGCATGCAAGTTGGCCATAGCCAGCTTGGCAAACATCTCCTGCTTGCTGTCTGTCTGTTCTAACAGCTTGTCAAGAACCTGCGCAGCAATGCAAAACACGCGGTTTCAACCAGGGAGCTGAAAACGATCCACCAAATGCCAACCTGGCTAGGGCCAAGCTGCACAAGCTCGTCATGCACACCTGCTTTGCGTTGTGGTAATCCCGTTTTTCCAGATACAGGCCGCCTTGAAACGCCAGCGCATCATTGCTATATGCCGGATTGCTCGCCGCCTGTTCCGCCCAGCGCAGAGCCTCCTGCACACACACCCTGAACAACCCATTGGTGCAACATACCTGCTCGTGTACCATACCTGCCTCTTGGATGCTGCAAGCCGTGAACAAGCAAAGATGGCCGCTTGCCTTGGTGTCGCCCCTGGCCTTGGCAATGCACGCCAGACGCAGGCAGCAGTCGCCGTACTGCGGGAATTGCTTCAGCAGCTCCTTGTACTCCACTTCGGCTGCCTTGAGGCTTCCACATGCCTCCTTTACGCGCGCCAGGTTGTAGCCCAGGGTCACCTGCAGGCCCCTCAGGCAGCGTGGTGGGCGTTGGCTGATGCTTCACCAGTAATCTCACCCATGCTAAGGAATACCTGCCCATGCTAAGGAATACCTGCACCAAGGCGTTGACTCCAGTTGACCCCGGACGTGCCGCCGACTGCATGGCCTGTGTCATGAGGCTGTATGACACATCCGTATTGCCAGCGCGCAGGTGGAGCACCGCCGCATTGTTGAGCAGCCGCGGGGGCAGGTGGCTGCTGCCGACGCCATCCGCCTGTGCTGCTGCACGGCGCAGCTCGATGGCCTTGTCATAAGCCTTGAGTGCACCTGCAATGAAGCCTGACATCCACATTACCCTGGCATTCACGAAACAAATGCTGAAACAGCACCTGCCTCACATAACCACATTGAGCAGGGAGTGGTGGCCCGGGGACAAGAGCACAGCCAGCTGCTGCACTGTGAACATACCTGCCGGCTCCAGTGAGGCCAGCAGGTCCCCGAGCAGCTCCCACAGCCCGACATTCTTGGGGCGCAGCGCCGCCGCCTCCTTGAATTGGGGCACCACCTTGCTCTTCGAGGTCGTCTTGGGGTAGACACGGCCCAGCACCTGCAAGCGCACCAGGTGCCTCAGAAAAGGTCGAGACGGTGCATATGACAAGGAGAGAGAGACAACAGCCAACAGCAGCCGAACATATTGACAGTAGCAAGTTAGCCTTAGAAAAAAACATACTCTCAAGAGAAGAAAAATTCGCCCCTCTCGCTCACCTCCAGTGCATCAATCCACTGAGGCGCATCAATCAGCACGCTCTCTAAGATCGATGCCGCTTCTTGAGGTTCGTTGTTCATCACCCTCATTTGCGCCAGGCCCAACTTAGGCAGTGGCAGCTTGGGGTCCAGCTGAAAGGCCTGAAGCAGACGTCACACAGAGCGTGTAGCAGCACCCCAGCTGCTCAGAAAGGAGCACACAGCAGGACACCACGTGCGAGGCATTGGCACTTGCCAACAACCATGGTACCTGATGATAACAGCGGTTGGCATCCTGCATCTGTCCAAGCGCATGCAGCGCTCGGGCTTGTATGGTTGTGGCTTCGGCTGCAGCACACTGGAGCCCCCGCGCTGCAGCACATTGTGGGCTAGCTGCCGCGCCTGCAGCAGTGCGCCATGGGGCGGGGACATGAGTCCCTGTCGCGCCCGTCAACCTGGAGAGCTGGTGGAAAGCAAGCCTCATGTGTCCAGACCTTGTCCGAAAAGCCTTGCCGCAGGCAGAAGTGCGCCAGCAGGAGCAGCACAAAGGGGTTGTCGGGGTCCTGCTCAAACGCCTGTGCCAGCAGCCGTGACCCCTCCCGTATGCCCTGCACCAGCTCAACCGCCAGAGTTGCAGAGCGAGGTGCAGCAACAGGCAAGTTGACCTCTCCGGCTACCCCTACCCCACCACGCACCTCCTCCTCACTGCTGATGTGTAGCTTCAGCACCGCCAGGCCCAGCAGCGCGGGCGTGCAGTCTGGCGCTAGCTCCAGCGTGCGCTTGTACGCCAGCTCCGCCTTATCAGTGTTGCCCATCTTTAGGCAGCATGCTGCAATGCCCAGCCGCACCTCGGGCGGGCAGCTGGGGCAGCTGCGCAGCGCCTGCTTGTACCTGCAGCATGGTGGCAGGGTGTAGAACGCGGTCCATGCATCAAGGCCTAGCACAAGCGGGAGGTGAATGAGGCTATACACTACAGTTGTCAGCAGCAGCGATGGGCAGGCGGAACGCAAGTCATGGACTGCAGCAAGCGCTGCATAACGGCCGACATCCCCAGCTCACAGCCGCAGAGCGTCAGTGTAGTTGCGCTGGTTGAAGTGCAGGTTTGCCAGTGCCAGGTGCGGCGCAATGCTGGGCCTGCCATTGCACCGCATGCGCATGGCCTTTTCAAACGCCTTCCTTGCGACCATGGCTTCGTTCTGCATGCAGGCACAATAGCACAACAAATGAAGGCAGCAGCCCTAGCAGTGGGAAGCAGGGTGTTCCCCTCGAGCTGCCGTGCCTGTGTATCCGCCTCTCCGGTCACCCGCCACGCACCTTGGCCAGGGCCACTGCACCCAGTACCAGCTCCGGAAGCTGCTCCTCCATGTTCAGGTACTGCGCTCGGTGGCACAGCTTCGTGCTGTTGCTGAGCAAAATTACGCGCTGCCCCCGGTCGCGCTCGGCGGCGGCCTGTTGCACTTTGAGCTCGGCCAGGCTGCACAGCGCCTGAATCTGGTTGAAAACGTCTGGGGGACCCTGCGACCTCTGCTGCTCCCGCTCCACCGCCTCCTGGAGCAGGGCCTCAAAGTCGCCCTCCCTGCCGCTGGCCAGCAAGTGCTCTGCGGCGCGCATCCATGCTGACATTGGAGCCGAATCGCCCCTGAGGACGCGCAGAAGGCCATCGAGAGTGGCCTGACCGCCATCGAGCGACAGCACGCTGCCTCCCCCGTTCAGGGGCAGCAGCAGGCAGCTCATGTTTTACTCATGTAAATACAGAATGATCATCCATTTCAAGCTGTGCCCGGCAGCTCCTCTTCCGCTGCCGACTTGGCCCTGCGTGGCACGGGGGCGCCCCATCATCCGCGCTCGTCTCCTCTCCCCCACCGTTGTCGCACACCTCATCCGCGTCTGCATGCTGCTATTACCAAGTGCGAAAAGTTGTCACACGGAGATTGCCATCACGACGACAGCAGCAGGAGCGGGGCGGCAAGACTCGAATCGCGCAGCAGGGGGTGCCAACTCTCAGAGCACTGCTTGCACGCGAATAGCAGGCGCGCCTCAATGTTCTGGCTCTTCTGCACGCTGGCCACCGATGCTCGCCGGGCTGGGCCCCTGATAGATAGTGGTCAATATACAGCATGCAGCGCACACGCCGAGGAGCCTCCCCCAGTGCCCCGCCTCCGCCGCCCTGCTGCCGCCTTGTGCCAACCTGCTGCGCAAATTTCCCTTCAGGCTGCCAACCATGGCATCCACGCTGCTGGAGGAGACGCGGCAGGCCCACGATGACATTGAGCGGCTGGAGAGGCACGTTGTTGCAGCTGGCCAGGCTCGACCCCCGAGTGTGGTCGCCTCGAGCACTCGCTCGAGCCTCCATCCAGCCGTTTGTTTCAACTCCCTGTGGCCTGCAGGCTGATTGTTAAGGATTTTGCCACTCAGCCGGCGGCCACCCACAAGGACAAGCTGCTGCAGAGTCACCGAGTGCGGGGGATGTTGGACGGCATACAGGACCGGTCGGCCAAGCTGGTGAGGAATGAATGCGTGGCCAGAGGCACAGGCAGGCAGGCAGGCGCGACAAAGGGACACAGCGGCAGCAAACTTGCCTGGTGGCTACTGCAGGCTGTCAAGTCTCCCTCTGCCCGCCCTGGCCTGCTGGTGCAGATCCGGATCTACCAGGATGAGGACGGGGCACGCAAGGAGGAGATTGCCCAGCTGCGCATGGGCGCTAGCGACAACGTGTTCAGGTGCCCCAGGCCTGGCCTGCGCCTGCCTGTCGGTCAGGATGTGGCGTTTGGGGTGGCCGCACCACTGCACCAGCGGCGGTTCCGTCAACACACTGCATGTCTGCATGGTCCCCTCTCGTTCATATTTATTCCCACTCTCTCACTGCAGCAACTTTTATGAGCGACTCAGGGAGGTGCGTGAGTACCACCGCAAGTTTCCGGACGACGATCTGACCGAGGTGAGTCTTGCGCCAGCCAGCAATCGGCAGCACTGTATGCCGGGCTGCTACCATATTTGCGGCTTGCGAAGTGTTCAACGCTTGTCCGCTTATCCTGCTGCCCACTTACCTGCTCTCCACATGGCTGCCGCGGCGGTGTGCAGGCGGAGAACGACGAGGCGCTTCTTCAGGAGCAGCCGGCAGTGCCATTTAGCGGCGAGGAAGCTATGGGGCGTTTCCTGGACCTGCACGAGCTTTTCCAGACCTACATCAACTCCAAGTTTGGCAAGCAGGCAAGCGGGGCGGGTTGAAGTCAGCGTGTGCCACAACCGCGTGCAGGCTGAAGCCACACGGAGCGCTGCCTCCCGCTGCCTGCCCGGCCGCTGCCGGCCTCGCCTGTGCCTGCCTGCTGCCTCTCATTGTCAGCCTGCCTGCATTGTCTCTTGCCGCCTGGCTGCGTCACTTGGCCCGCAGGTGGACTACTACACCTACGTCTGCGGCGTGGTAGACTTTGGCACCATCCCGCGGGCCCGGCGCCTTTCCAAGCTGTACCGTGACTACTTGGGAAGCCTGGTGGGATACCTCGAGTCCTTTTATGAGCGCACGCAGCCGCTGGCGCAGCTATCCAAGCAGTATGACAAGGTATCAGAAGAGTGCTGCAGGGCTTGTGTTCGTTTTGCATGTGGGTTGTTTTACAGGCTGGATCAGTTTCATATCCGGAGGTCTGCTGTTGGAGCCGCAGAGCGCCATGTTGGCTGGGCGTCCCCCCGCTCCCCGGCTTTGTCAGCGCTCTGCCGTCGCCTTGCCCAATGCCTACCTGCCTGCAAATCTTGTGTGCAGTTGGAGAAAGAGTTCAGTGAGCAGTGGCAGGCCGGCGTTGTGGCGGGGTGGGAGGACCGTGGCGAGGGGGAGCAGGGAGACAGTGCCGCCTCAGGGGCCCTGGACCTGGATGCTTTTGACTCGGCAGATGAGCTGGAGATGCTGGGTGCGTGCCCTGCCAGTGTGTCAGCTGGTGCTGGATATGCAAAAATGCGCAACGCGCGCCTCTGCTGGGTCTGCCCATCACTTGGACGCCCTGCCAGCTGCCTGAAATTGCTGGCGCGAGGTGGTGCTGTAGGCGCGGAGCGGGTGAAGGAGGCGCTGCAGGCGCTGGGCCTCAAATGCGGCGGCACGCTACGGCAGCGCGCAGAGCGGCTGATGCTGACCAAGGGCAAGCGGCTGGAGGAGCTGGACAAGTCGCTCTTTGCCAAGGGCACGCTGCCGGCGGTATGGGCTCGCTGCCTGCAGGAAGCACTACATGTTGCCCTGCATGTTGCCAACATGCCAAGCAAGGAGCATGGCAATGGCCGGCTGGGGCCAATGCCCCCTCACACATCACGCTCGACCCGGCTGCTTGCGCCTCTGCGCTGCTTGCTTCTGTTGCAGGCCACCAAGTCGGCCGCCAAGCAGGAGCAGCGGGTGGCGGCGGCGCGCACGGTGGCGCTGCTGGAGGCCAAGGCGCGTCGGCTCTGCGACATGCTGTCCTCGGTGATTGAGGACACCAAGGGGCGCATCGAAAAGAAGCAGGCGCAGACGTACGAGGAGCTGGTGGCGGAGCAGCAGGAGGCGGAGGAGGTGGGTTGGGGCCCAGGTTCGAGGGGTGTCACGAGGCGTTTGGGCGCAGGGTGCAGGCGCGTCCAATCATCTGTGGTTGGGTCTGCCCGGCGGCCTTCCTTCCACGCTGGGCTGCCGCCAGACGGCCGCTGTTGTGACTGCTGTCTTGATGTGCAGGAGGCGGCGGTAGTGGAAGACAGCGAGGAGGAGGATGAGTTTGTGTATAACCCTCTCAAGCTGCCTCTGGGCTGGGATGGCAAGCCCATCCCGTACTGGCTCTACAAGTTGCACGGCCTCAACCTGGAATTTAAGTGCGAGATATGCGGTGAGTGTTGCATGAGGCGGAGTCTGGGAGAGTGAGGTGCTAGCTTTAGAGAGGGAGGCAGGGAACCCGTGCTCCGTGCACTAGCCAGCCAAACGCGCTGCGCTGTCTTCTGACCATGTGCCTGATGCGGCCTTGCAGGCGGTGCTTCCTACTGGGGAAGGTAAGCCCACAGCAGGCACAAACTGTGTGTGTGTGCATGTGTGTGCATGCGCAAAGTCAGGAAGCAGAATGCAGCACGACATCGAGATGCCTTGCCTGCCAGCCTCCGCCTCACTCTGCCACTTTTGACAATACCCCACCTCTTCACAGGCGTGCCTATGAGCGCCACTTCCGTGAGTTTCGGCATGAGAACGGCGTGCGGGCGCTGGGAATTCGTGAGTGTGCTGGGAAATGTATGACGGTCGTTGTTTTGGGCATGCTGTTGCCGGCAGGGTTACTACTGCTGGTCTGCTGGCAGCTAGTGGCGTCTGTGCGGCACCAGGCATTGAGTATGTTTTTGTTCTTCGTCTCCCCCCCTGCAGCCAACTCCAAGGCCTTCTATGAAGGTGAATGATGAAGTGCATAGGACACCCGCTTGTTCTGGACAGCAGTGGTCGAAGGGGCCTGGTCACCTCTGGCTCCAGCTTCCTGACGTCCCCTGCCCTCTGCATCCTGCAGTCACCAGCATCGCAGACGCCCTGGCGTTATGGAAATCCTTGCAGCAGAAGGGCAAAACCGGCACTGAGACGACAGAGGAGGAGATTGAGGACGCGGACGGCAACGTTTACAGTGCGTCGCTGGGGGCTGGATGGCGTTTGGGTGCCCAGATTATGGCTGATATTCGCGCCCCAAACGCAATTCTTCATTTTTACTTTTTTGATCCTGCAGGCAAGAAGACTTTCGAGGATTTGCGGCGTCAGGGGCTGGTCTAAGTCAAGGCTCGAGCTCTTCGGTGCTGGTATGGCGTTCCTGCTGTGTACTGCCTTCCTGCTACTCACCTTGTTTCCAAGGATGCTGTAGCTTTGCACAGGCCCATTGCAGTCAATTGCGGCCACAGCAACATTAGGTGCCCGCCTGCTGGCCTCAGAGATGACGGCCCTCTTCTGGTTTTTGGGACTGCCTTCCCTCTCTTCTTGCGCTATGAGCCCCCGGTGGTGGTCCAGAGCACACACATTGGGCAATTCCACATGTAAAAATTGAGTACATTCAATTGACACCGAAAAGATGCAGACTAAACCATACCAGAAAAATTTAGGGAGGAAAGAGAGGCATTGTAGTGGGGAGGAAATGGGAGCAGACAGAGAGGTTGGGGAGGGAGGCAGGCATGGGAAGGGGGAGGCTGATCGGTAACGGGAGAGAGGGATCGCTCAGGTTGGGTGTGTGTCGCCGCCAGCCGCACCGTCGCCAAACAGCTGCGCCTTGAAGGCCTCATACTCCTCCAGGGGCGTGCCGCAAAGCTTGGCAAACTGTGTGTCGCTGCATTTAAGGGCGCTCATTGGGAATGCAGGCTGGGTGCCACTTGCAGCGCTGTTGCTGCCACCACGTGGCTGCCGCTGTGAGTGGACATGCAGGAAGTAGCGGTGCCTGGGCACCACCCTGCACAGAATGGGTGGAGGAAAACTCCTGTAAACGTGCCACAGCCACGCACGTGCTTTGGCCAATTGCATGCACCCTGTATTGTTGCACCCCCCTGGCCTGCCGTGGATCACCCACACTGCCGTGGATCCACCCACACCACGCACCGGTTGGTCAGCGATAAGCTGAAGTAGGCGGGATAGGAGCACAGGGTGGCCACGCCGTCTACGGGGGCCCGTATGTAGTCTACTAGGTAGCGCCACTTGGGCGCCAGGTTGGCCTCCACGTTGAGCGAGAAGAGCTGGGGGAAGCGAAAGATGCACGCTGCCACCTGCGCCTGGTCCAACCCGATCGACTGTAGGTAGGCTAAGCGCTCCTGCATGCTGTCGATCTTGTAGTGCAACACCTGCGCCGGGGTTGGGGTGGCAGGCAGGCTCAGACAGCAGCAGCCAGCAGGAACAGAACGAAGCAGCTCCCTGCAGCACGCTCCTTGTGCTTCGCCTGGAGAGCATGCGGGGCTGCCGGTGGCACCATCCCTCCACAGCCTGGCCAGCCCACCTGCGGGTGCGCCAACACCGCCCTGCCAACCTCCTCCTGGCTCAGGCCCTGCCGCAGCAAAAAGTCCACCCGCAGCCGCATCATCTCCTCGGTGCAAGTCAGCACCTGCGAAAAGGCGGTGCGGCAGGAAGCCAATGGGAGGAGGCCTGAATGGCGTGCACATGGTTTGTTCATGCCCGCCGCCCTTTTGACACCTTGCCAACCGGCCGTCAGAGCCCCCACGCTGGCCGGCCTCCATTCCTCACCTGTGGGTGGCGCACAATCAGCTTGCCCAGCGCTCCCGACGACAGGCACAGCACATCCCGCAGGAAGGCCGCCCGTGGCTCCAGAGTGTCTTTCACCCTCAGCTCCATTGCCATGGGGGCGCGCATAAACACCTGCACCCACAGCACGCAGCATCCAACGGGCATTGATGCCCACACACCTCTCCAGCGACCGCACACCCTGTCAACCATGGAACCCCACCAACGCGCCCCTTCGCTCCCCCAGGCCCCACCTTGGCCAAATCATCCTGCTCCACGCCACACCGCCGCAGGAACTCCAGGCGCGGCCGGATGGTGCGCTCAGATTTGTACTCCAGAATGCGCGGGAACTTGGCAATCACTTTGGTGAGCTCCGAATTGCTGCAAGCAATGTGCATGAGGGCGGCCAGCCAAGGTGCGCTATGGTGAGACCGCAGTGCGGCGTGTGGCTACCAGGGCCCTCGGCACAGTGCTCCAACAGCAGTGCCTCCTGAATGCCCGGAAACTTTCTCCGGCGCGCTCGCCACCAGGCACCTGAGGCCAATGGTGTCTTGGAAATATTTGAGCTTGCGCCGCATGGTCACAATACCCATCTGAAAAATTTCGGGCCGCGACTCGGTGAGGCGCTGGAAGTCGGCAGCGCGCAGGCCCAGCTCGTACAGCAGTAGCACCTGCACGTGCGAGCAGGCGGGCGTCACAGTGTCAAGCAGCAGGGCAGCGAAGCGGTCCCTTGAAACGACATGCCCACACATAGGCTGGACAGGTGGGGAGCCCAGCCCACTGCCCAGCCAATCCCTCCCTCCCAAAACCAACCTGTGGCCGCCAGCCATCTTCTAGGTCGCATTCTTCTGCAAGTCGGGAGAACAGGTCATCCCTGCCACCTGCTCTGTTGGCAGGCCTGGCCTGCTTCTGTGGCAACCCTCGCCGTTGCAGCGGTGGTTGCCGCTGCCGCTGCTGTGGCTCGCCATGCTGCTGCTGGTGTTGCGTGCCACCCAGGCGCCACTGTGGAGCCTCGGGGCTCGGCTGCTCATGCTGCTGCGATGGTGGCGGCAGCACCTGCTGCTGCTGCTGCTGCTGCTGCTGCTGCTGCTGCTGCTGTTGCTGCAGCTGGTCCTGCTTTTGCGGCGGCACCGTGTGGTGCTGCGGCTGCCGCGGTGGCACCCGGCGCAGAGGAGCTTGCTGTTGGCGCTGGCGCTGCTGCTGCCGCATACGACGCATGCGCTCCAGGTCCTGTGGGGTGGGAATTCGCAGCTGTTGGGGCCCCGGTAGCCCTGTCAGTCGCGGCTGGTCCATCAGCAGCGTGGAGTGGGCGAGGGGCAACGCCATGGTACGTGCCGCTGACGCCTTGCCGCCGCCGCCGCCGCCGCCAGCCGCCGCTTGGCTGTTGCACCGCCTCCCTGCTGGTGGCGCAACCCTGCCGACACAAACGCTGCTGGCGCTTTCCTCAACGCCCCTGCTGGTTCACTGCTTCGGTCGGTTGGTGCTCACAGCTCTCTCCCAGGTGCATGCGTGTTGCGCGGGCCAACCGACTAACAGCAGGACCCCTAGATCTCGCTGGTGCCTAAACGCTGTATGGGCCTTGAGGCGCAGGCCCCCTCTACATAGAGCAGCGTGCGGGAAGAAACGGTGAATATGTGAAGAGCTCTTCTCTGTGCTGAACCCCTCTCCGTGCTCCATCCATAACCTCAGATGTAATTGGGGTGACGCCCGCGACAGTGTCATCTGCCTTGTGGCAGGGCTTGGGCGTGCTGCATCCGCTCCTGGCAACGTTCAAAGCAAATCATTATCAGCACGTGTGCAGGCGGCGGTCGTCGAGACAGCCCGTAGTGGCGCTGGTGCCGGCAGCGGCGGTGGCAGCGGCGGCGCCGCCACACGGCCAGGTTGACGTCACCTGCAGAGGGCCCAGCCATGTCGGCAGGGGATGCCGGGCTGGTGAACCAGAAGTATGCGCTGTTGCCGGCGTTTCTGCAAGCCAAGGGCCTCATCCGGCAGCACGTGTCCAGGTGAGGTGCAGCAGTTCCAGGTCCGTCGCAGAGCTGACTGGCTGGTGGACACTCTGTCCCAAACCTCTGATCACCTGTCGGCAATCCTGCTGCCTTGCGCACTCCCTCCTCTCCTCTTCCTGATGATGCCCTGGCGCCCTTCTGTGCCCATCGCCTGCCTGCCTGTGTGCCGCCGCGTGCAGCTTCAATCACTTCATCGCCAGCGATTTGCTGAAGATCATCAAGGCCAAGGGCAACGAGCGCGTCACCTGTGATGCTGACCCTAACTTTTACCTCAGGCGCGTGCAGCCAGCGCGCAGCGGGCTGCGCTGAGCTGTTGCCCTTGGGCTGGTTTGCACATGCATATCAGCGGTTTGCACCATATACCCAGTTGTGCTGCTGCCCTTCCGCAGGTACACCAACATCTATGTGGGACGGCCCAGCCTGGAAGAGGACTACATCCAGACGGAGCTGACGCCCAACCAGTGCCGCCTGCGCGACCAGACCTACTCGGCGCCCATCAGTGTGGATGTGGAGTACACGAGGGGCAAGGAGGTGGTGATCCGCAAGGGCAAGAGCGGTGCCGGCGCCATCCTCATTGGCCGCATGCCCATCATGCTGCGCAGCGACAGGTGCGGCAGCGGGGCAGGGTTGACGGGAGTCCGGATGGGAGGTGGAGGCCGGCAGCAGCGATTGGGAGGAAGTTAGGGAACGCAACCGCAGGGCAGGGCAGGCTTGATGTGCTCGGATCGTCATCGGCACCGCAAAGGGTCCCTTGTCTTGGTGTGTGTGTGTGGTGGTTTATTTGATCAGGCGGCCCAAGCGTTCTGGTCTGCCCATGGCGCCGACCCATGCCCTGCCCTCTCCGCATGCCCCGCTGGCGCAGGTGCGTGCTGACCGGGAAGAGTGAGGAGGAGCTGGCTTGGGTGGGGGAGTGCCCCCTGGACCCAGGGGGCTACTTTGTGGTCAAGGGCACCGAGAAGGTCATCCTCATCCAGGAGCAGCTGTCCAAGAACCGCATCATCATTGACACAGGCACGCCTGCGCTCGCCGCCCGGCGTCTCCACCATGGTGTAGCCTGGCATTGGGGGGCGTTCTCACATTCCAAGTGGCAAAGCCCAGCCCAGCTAGCCCACCCCTGGCCCCCCGGCTACCGACTGACAGAGGCGTTGCTTTGTCGCCTGGCGGGTGCAGATAGCCACGGCGCCGTCGTCGCCTCGGTCACCTCCTCTACCCATGAGCGCAAGTCCAAGACGAACATTGTCAGCAAGCACAACCGCCTGATGCTGAAGCACAATGCCTTCACGTAAGCCGAGAGGCGGGGTATTGGATGCATGCCGGGGCGGTGCATCAGCTCAGCCGCGGCTCGTGCATTTGTCAAGTGGTCTAGCAGGTGCCACATCTGGCTGATGTGGCCGCGAGGCTCCTGGTGCCGCAGGGAGGATGTGAACATTGTGATTGTGATGCGGGCGATGGGGGTGGAGAGCGATGAGGAGGTGCTGCAGCTCGTGGGCACGGAGGGCCCGTTTGCCTCGTTGCTGACGCCCACACTGCAGCACTGCAAGGAGGAGGGAGTCTACACCCGGCAGCAGGCGCTGGACTACCTGGCGGGCAAGGTCAAGGGCAGCGGCAGGCCGGCGAGCCCCGCTGGCGGCGGCGGCTTTACGCGGCGCACGCGGTCGCGGGTAGATGAGGCACGCGACATCCTTGCGAATGTGGTGCTGTGCCATGTGCCGGTGGTGCAGTTTGACTACCAGCAAAAGGTGTGGCACTGCCCTGGTACTGTTTGTGTGTGGCTGATGGAACGCGCTCTGTTCTGCTGCCTGCCGGCCTCCCCCCTCGCCCTGCTTTGAGCTTTCCGCCAAGCAACCACACACAGCGGCCGTGCTTTTGCCCCTGACCCCCCTTCCGCCGCCCGACGCCCTCAGGTGACGTATATTGCAGTCATGGTGCGGCGCATGCTGTATGCCAAGCTGGACCCCTCCTTCATCGACGATCGAGATTACTACGGCAACAAGCGGCTGGAGCTGGCGGGCGGCCTGCTGGCGCTGCTGTTTGAGGACCTGTTCAAGCGGTGCGTTCCGGGGCTGGCCTGGCCAGGGCAGGGTGGTGTGCGGCGGTGGGGGTGTTGGGATGCCAGGGTTGCTTTCAGTTCACTTGCCTTGCCTGCTTGCCAGCAGCCCCCACCCTCCGCTCCCACCCTGCCCCTGCTCCTCCCCTGCAGCATGAACGCTGACCTGAAGCGCCAGGCAGACAGCTCGCTGAGCAAGGCGAACCGCGCCACGCAGTTTGACATTGCCAAATGCATCCGCACCGACACCATCACCTTTGGCCTGGAGCACGCCATCTCCTCCGGCAACTGGACCATCAAGCGCTTCCGCATGGAGCGCAAGGGCGTGACGCAGGTGGGGGTCCCGGGATCAGGCCCCCGGGAGCCACATGGGCAGGAGCACATGCTGCTGATGGCCTTGCCAGCCTGATGCAGGGCTGGCCGGTTCGGTCATCAGATGTCTGGGGCGTGTGGCGTGGCCTCACCTGTGTGCAGGTGCTGTCCCGCCTTTCGTTCATCAGCGCGGTGGGCATGATGACACGCATCACCTCGCAGTTTGAGAAGACGCGCAAGGTGTCGGGGCCGCGCGCATTGCAGCCGTCGCAGTGGGGCATGCTGTGCCCCGCCGACACGCCGGAAGGTGGGGTGCTGCGGGTGCATGCACACTGGTTGCGCACCTTCAAACAACTGGTTGCACTGGTCGTGCTGGTTGCGCTGCCTGCACATCGCTGGTGCACCCTCCGACTATGTCTTTTCTGTGTGTGCCAGGCGAGAGCTGCGGGCTGGTGAAGAACCTTGCACTGATGACGCATGTGACGACGGATGAGGAGGAGGCGCCTATTGCGCGGCTGGCGCACATCATGGGTGTGGAGCCTGCCTCTCTTGTCAACCAGTCTGAGCTGCGAGAGCGGTGAGTGACGGAGCGGTAGGGCAGCATGGGGATGGTCGACAAGGGAGGGCAGGACGATGGAAGGCAGCCAGGGTCAAAGTTGCCGGGATACCTTGTTGTGTGGAAAGCTGCAGCATATGATGCACCTTGATGCTCAGTAGAGTAGGGCAGGCAGGCGTGACGGTGACGTGATGTCAGCCCTGCAACCATCCCGCCACTTCTGCGCGCGCCTCACCTACATTTACACCTACACACCACCTGCTTTGTGCCTGGCACGCAGGGGTTGCGCGCTGGTGTTCCTCAACGGCAACATCCTGGGCGTGCATCGCCGCCCCAAGTACTTTGTGCGCTCCTTCCGGGAGATGCGGCGCCGCGGCCGCGTGGGCGAGTTTGTCAGCGTGTACATGCAGCACGACACGGTGCAGATTGCCAGCGATGGCGGCCGCGTGTGCCGCCCGCTCATCATCTGCGACCGCGGCGTGCCGCGCGTCAAAGACGAGCACCTGCAGGTGGGGCGGGGCGGCGCAAGGATTGGGAGGGGGATGCATGCAAATGAGAACTGGTGGTTTGTTCATCGCATGTGACTGGCTCGTGTTCCACATTCTCAGTTGTGTTTTGGCCAGGGTTCGACAAATCTGAAGTGTGAAGGAGACTTGCCCCTTTGTGATGCAGCTGCTGCGCATGGGCAAATGGAATTTCAATAGCTTCCTGCACTCTGGCTTGCTGGAATACCTAGGTGGGTGGGGTGCCGAGATGTGCAGTGGCGTCCCCATGTAATCCGCCGCACTCAGCGCAAGCCCAGCTGCCCACCAAAACCTCAACCTGCCTCCTGCCTGCTTGGCCCTGGTCTGGATGGCGTGATGCAGATGTGAACGAAGAGAACAACTCATTAGTTGCCCTCTACGAGGCCGACTGCGGCCCGCGCGTCACCCACTTAGAGATCGAGCCCTTCACCATCCTGGGCGTTGTTGCCGGCCTTATCCCATTTCCGCATCACAACCAGTCGCCGCGCAACACGTACCAGGTCGGTTGGCATCTGCCGTGTGCCGCCGCCCCTATGAGTTGCACAGCTGTAGCAGCGTTTGAATGGTTGCCTGAAGGCAGCCGCGACATGACACTCAAAGCCTACGACCCACCCCCTCCCTCGCTGTGCAGTGTGCCATGGGCAAGCAGGCCATGGGCAATGTGGCATTCAACCAGCTCAACCGCATGGACACGCTACTCTACCTGCTGTGCTACCCGCAGCGGCCGCTGCTGACCACGAAGACCATTGAGTTGGTGGGCTTTGACCGGCTGGGCGCAGGGCAGAATGCCACAGTAGCTGTCATGTCCTACTCTGGGTGAGCGGCACTGGGATGGGTGGCCTACTAGCGAGCCTGCCAGCACAGCTACCGGCAGGTGCCGGCTACAGGTGGAAGGACCTTGGAAAAACAGCTTTTGACAACTGTTTTTTACATCACCTGCTGGTTGGGATGCATGTGTCACCTCACATTTGCTCGCCTTCCATGCCTCCATGCCGTAGGTATGACATTGAGGATGCCATTGTGATGAACCGAGCCAGCCTGGACCGCGGCTTTGGGCGGTGCATCGTGCTGCGCAAGTACGGCACCTCGTTGAAGAAGTATGCCAACCGCACGCAGGACCGCATCGTGCTGCCCGCGGCGGCGGTGGGGCCTGCCAGTGCGCCCCGCCCCGCCAAGTTCCGGGTGCTGGACCGCGACGGCATCGCGGCGGCGGGGGAGGTGCTGACGCAGGGTGAGAAGGGGAGGCATGGCATGATCCGGTGGGCGTGGCATGGTGCACGTTGCCGTGCCGGCGCAGGCTGCGCTGGGATGCATGAGCGCTGGTTAGTGTGTGCTGTGCTGCTGTCACCCTGCTGCGCTGCGCTGTGCCCTCCCTGCAGGCGAGATCCTGGTGAACAAGCAGATGCCCACCAACACGCGCGACCCTGTGTCCAACCCGGCAGCCATGCCGGATACCTTCTACCGCAATGCGCCTGTCTCCTGGAAGGGGTACACCGGCGGCGAGAAGTGTGTGGTGGACAAGGTGGGATGTCATGCAGCTGGGCTTCTCAATTTGGTGACCTAACCGGGCCAGCTCCCCCTTCTGTTTTGTTGGAATGTGCTGATATTCTTCCCTGACCGGCCTGCTTGTCGTGTTACCGCAGGTGTTGCTAACCAGTAACGATGACTGTTCCTGTGTTGTCAAGGTGCTGGTGCGGCACACACGGCGGCCGGAGCTCGGAGACAAGTTCAGCAGCAGGCATGGGCAGAAGGGGGTGGTGGGCTCCATTTGGAGCCAGGTGAGGCAGGGCAGTGGGTGGAGAGATTGTGCGGCTCATACATCCAAATGCCTGTCTCTTGTGCTGCTATTGCTCCTGCCCCGCCCACCAGCCTGGACATCTCCTTCTGGTGCTTTGCTCGCCTGTCCGCAACCTGCAGTCGGACATGCCATTTAGTGAGCGCGGCCTGGTGCCAGACCTCATCATGAACCCACACGGATTCCCATCCCGCATGACGGTGGGCAAGATGATTGAGCTGCTGGGCTCCAAGGCTGCCGTGTGCACAGGTGAGCTGCGCCCACGTGCACATGCCTGGCTGGCAAGACTGGGACAAACTTCAGGCGTGACCATGAAGCGTGTTGGGCTACCCTAACCCCGGCATGCCTTCCAGCCTAGCCCTCTCTTCCAACTTGTGCAGGGCGCTTCCACTACGGCACCGCCTTTGGCGAGCCTGCCGGGCTGGCAGACAAAGTGGAGAGCATCAGCCAGGAGCTGGTGGAGGCAGGGTACAGCTACAGCGGCAAGGACTTCCTGCACAGCGGCATCACGGGTGGGTGCGCCGCTGGTCGACTTGGCTGGTGCCATTTGCAGGCATCGTGTGGATGCCCCAGGCGGCTGACAGCCCTCACAGGCATCCAGCAACTGGGTCTGCCTATCTCCGCTTGCCATGTAATGGCGTTTTGCCCTTCTTGTGATGCCCGACCCGCCCTGCTGCCCGGCATGCCGTGTTGTGTGTGCCGCAGGCGAGGCATTAGAGGCTCACATTTTCATGGGGCCAGTGTACTACCAGAAGCTCAAGCACATGGTGCTTGACAAGATGCATGCACGCGCACGCGGCCCACGCGTGGTGCTCACACGTCAGCCCACCGAGGGCCGCAGCCGCGATGGCGGGCTGCGCCTGGGAGAGATGGAGCGTGACTGCCTGATTGGTGAGCGGCGACTGCAGATGCCAAGGGTTGATGGGGCCGGATTGAGCATGTGGCAGCGATACGTCCAGGCCAAACATGTGTGCCTTGGCCCACGGTCTCCCACCTCCCTCCTCTCCGGTCTGCAGGGTATGGCGCCTCCATGCTGCTGCTGGAGCGGCTGATGATCAGCAGTGACCAGTTTGAGGTGCAGGTGTGCACGCACTGTGGACTGATGGGGTACAAGCGCCACGATGGCCTGGCGGTGTGCCCCTTGCTCCGCTCCCCCGAGCACATCGCGTCGCTGCGGATCCCCTACGCCGCCAAGCTGCTGTTCCAAGAGCTTCAATCCATGAACATCGTTCCAAAGCTGCTGCTCGCCGAGGCTTGAACTGTGTTGCTGTCGGCCGGCATCTGTGAACTTGTAAGGATTCTGGGACTCCTGTCCAAGGTTCGGACACGCAGACCGTACTGCGAGGTGTACCGCAATGCGGACGTCTGAAACTCTCTCGCATCACACCCCAGCACTCACTCGCCCTCTCAATTCCGAACGCCCCAGGCGCCAGCGGCAGAACGAAGCCAGACACCCGGCGCCTATCTCAAATGCAGCAGCGACCATTTGTTTTGGCCTAAGATGGGGGCCCTTCAGCAGCAGGGTGCGGGACAAGGCACAGGCTTGCGGTTCCCACACAAGGCCTTGCTCCTCACTTCAGGTCGGTTCCGCCACACTGTCACTGGTCACGGTGTTAGCTGGGGCGAGCTGCATTGCGAGGGTCGCGGCCGCTATTTTCGATCGCGGCCGCTATTTGAGTCCAGTTGGTGCCAACCGCCGCCCACCTGCCGCCAGCGGCGTGGCGTGGCCCTGCCCTATCGAGCACTTTGCCTGACCATTCGCAGGGCTGTTTCTGGTTTGGGGTCTCTACACGGGCACTCTGCCATCCGCGCCTAGCCAGCATGTGACTCCCGCCATCTGTCAGGGGCAGGCAGTAACGCAGGTAGGCCGGGTGGTTCACTTGTATGCTTTGTATCCATGTCTGTTTTTGCTGCTCAAAGTCAACTCATGCACAGCCAAGAATAACCACAGAAATGCTTATACATATGCTTCTTCGGATCAACGTTTTGCAGGCCCCATTGCCGCCACCCTGGCATGCGGTGCGCGACTGCAAGATTTACATCCTCGATCTCTCTGCAGATGTGGCCCCTGCGCTGGGAATACCTCAGTGTGACATCAGTGACCCAAAGGTTGGTATAGTGCAACTGTGAGGCTGAGATGGGCTGTTCATCTGTCGTGGGTTGTAATGGAGCCTGCCACACCAGCTCAGTTGTTGTTTCCATGCATTCACCTGCAGGTGTGGCCGCTTGCCGAGCCGGGGGAGCTGCCATGGAGCATACAGCACATGGAGTCGATGCAGCACATGCACTACCAGTATGCTGGGCAGTACTGGCTGACACAGGCGCTCAGAAATGCCAGCGGCGTGCTGACTGACAACATTGACGAGGCGTGCCTGGTCTGGGTGGACACATACTGCTATCAGCAGGTCAGCTCATTATGCCCAGGGCGACTTGTTGGTGCTGCTGGGAAAGCACACCCTGTGCCCTCACGTTTGGAGGTCCATAGTGAACCGTGTTGCTTTTCCCGCTCGCTTGTGCAGTGGTGGTGGATCCAGAAAGCCATTAAGTTTCGATCGGATTGGCTCAAGGGTTATACTCATAACGAAAGCCACGTATCCAACATTTACGCCCAAGCACTTGATTATGCCACCACCTCTGAGCAGTTTCAGGTGCACAGTCGAACAAGTCCATAACCAGCTGGACGTGTTGGTGACAAGATGATGCATCCATTCCATGCGTTTTTTTGCGGTGCAGAAACATCAGGGGCGCGATTACGTCTTTCAAGTACCCATACGAGATGCAAAACCGGGCGCGCCATTTAGAAAACTGTGCAGCACAATGGTGCACTCTCACACCCTCATCCCAGAAAAGTCAGAAACCTGCCACACCAAGCGGCCAAAACTAGCTCTGCGGGAGACACAAATAGTGCCCTATTGTACAGGCAAGAACATTGCATGTACCTTTGCAGGAAGGCGGATGTGCTGCCTGGCCAGAATGAGGGATGCCGTGCTAGGCAATTCCAACCTGGTTTCAATTTGTTTTGCATGTATGCATCAGACTATTTAAAAGGCAGCCTGGTCTTGTCCCCGCAACCTTTCGCCCACCTGGTCCTTAGTTTTGAATCGTGCCTGCAGTGGCCGATGTGGGGGATTTGGCAGCTCCCATTGTGGGATCTCAGAGACCAACATTTCTTTACATGACTGCCTCATGCATAAGAAGAAACAACAATTGTGGCAAATTCATGCGATATTCCGCAGCTGTCGCTTTCAACAACACTGCACCCGACGTCCAGGTTAGGAACCAGCGCCTTCCTCGCGTGGTACCATCGTTGTCATTAAATCCAATATTTGTCCTTGTGTGTTGCAGGTCTTATGCACAAACCTTCCTGTCAAGGTTTCCAAGTCGTACTCAGAAGTACAGCTGGAGATGCGGAAATCTGTCTTTTGTCTGCTTCCCCCGGGCGACACCGCCAGCAGCAACCGCCTGACGGAGACCATTCTGTCCGGCTGCATCCCTGTGGTGCGCGGCACTACGCTTGATTGCATGTTTCAGAGACATGAGGGTTGGGGATGATTCTCGCCGCCACTGACCAATGCGTGCTTCATGCTTTCCGCTGTGTTCTGCAGTTCATTGGGCCGCCGTGGCATGAGATGCCTTTCCACCGTGGCGAGGTTGATTGGGCCTCCATGGCGGTGTTCCTCAACATTACGGAGGCCAGCTGGCTGGAGAGTCCTGACTGTCAGTTCAAACAGCAGAAGTGGTATCAATCTGCGGATGTTGGGTTTGCAACGGTTTCTGTTCCAGACCTGCCAGCGGCATATGAGTACCTGCGGTGAGTTGCGTCGCAGCGCCGTGTGTTTTAGGTGCATGTGCGGTATCTGCCAGCCTGTGTGCGTTTGAACAGGCAGGGAGGGATTTTATGAAGAGGGGTCTGGCTGTTGGGTTGCAGGACAATGCCCAAGGATGCTTTGGAGCGCCACCAAGCGGCGCTACAGCGGGTAATTGTGTGTTGTGCTGCACTTTTTCGAAGCTCAGAGGCACTGCCCTGGTCTGGTTGCGCCCTGCATCCACTCGGTCCCCAAGCCACCTCGCAGTTGTGTCCTGCAGGAGAGGCCCAAATTTTTCTACGGCACCGCTCCGGGCCGGCAGTTCTCAGCGCTGGCAGATGTCGTCTTTGGCAACCTCATCGCATACGGTCTGCGGTTGAAGGCCGGGGAGTACACAGCATGACCTGAGGCATTTGTTTTGCTTTCCCTGTTTCATTTATGACAATGCAACGATACCAGGACGGTTGCCACCTTTTACCAGACGGACGAGAGACATGCCCGGATTGCAGTGGAGATTACTAATGCAGTGTAATCTCCTCCCGTCTGCGACGCTCAGACCAAACTGTACTGCAGAGTTTTCCCCGTCAGAAGGAAGTGTAAAATCCCTCTACTTTTACAACTACCATGCTCTCTGGGTGTCCTCTTGATTTTGGCAAACAAACTGCTGCGCACAAAACGCGCCACAAACCGCGCAGAAATGCAAATCCGCGCGGGAGTTTGTCCGTTTGCCTAGATGGATGCCCTTCAGCAACGAGGACAACGCACAGGCCTCAGGCGGCCACACAAGGCCTTGCTCCTCACTTCAGGTCGGTTCCGCCACACTGTCACTGGTCACGGTGTTAGCTGGGGCGAGCTGCATTGCGAGGGTCGCGGCCGCTATTTTCGATCGCGGCCGCTATTTGAGTCCAGTTGGTGCCAACCGCCGCCCACCTGCCGCCAGCGGCGTGGCGTGGCCCTGCCCTATCGAGCACTTTGCCTGACCATTCGCAGGGCTGTTTCTGGTTTGGGGTCTCTACACGGGCACTCTGCCATCCGCGCCTAGCCAGCATGTGACTCCCGCCATCTGTCAGGGGCAGGCAGTAACGCAGGTAGGCCGGGTGGTTCACTTGTATGCTTTGTATCCATGTCTGTTTTTGCTGCTCAAAGTCAACTCATGCACAGCCAAGAATAACCACAGAAATGCTTATACATATGCTTCTTCGGATCAACGTTTTGCAGGCCCCATTGCCGCCACCCTGGCATGCGGTGCGCGACTGCAAGATTTACATCCTCGATCTCTCTGCAGATGTGGCCCCTGCGCTGGGAATACCTCAGTGTGACATCAGTGACCCAAAGGTTGGTATAGTGCAACTGTGAGGCTGAGATGGGCTGTTCATCTGTCGTGGGTTGTAATGGAGCCTGCCACACCAGCTCAGTTGTTGTTTCCATGCATTCACCTGCAGGTGTGGCCTCTTGCTGAGCCGGGGGAGCTGCCATGGAGCTTGCAGCGCATGGAGTCGATGCAGCACATGCACTACCAGTATGCTGGGCAGTACTGGCTGACACAGGCGCTCAGAAATGCCAGCGGCGTGCTGACTGACAACATTGACGAGGCGTGCCTGGTCTGGGTGGACACATACTGCTATCAGCAGGTCAGCTCATTATGCCCAGGGCGACTTGTTGGTGCTGCTGGGGAACCTGAGCACACCTCATTTAAATCGAGTTGGAGCGTGCTGGACTGCTTGTTCTCCTGCTCTCTTTGTGCAGTGGTGGATTATCCAGAGAGCTATCAGGAAGCGCGACTTGCCGGGTTACCATCAGAGTGAAATTGATGTTCAACGAGTGTACAATCAAGCGCTCAAGCACATTGCAACCTCTGAGCACTTTCAGGTTCGTTGATCAGTTGCAAGCGCTCCCACGCACCCAGAAACCCTTACTCCTTACTATGCTGTAGATGTCGATGCCCACTGCAGAGGCGCCAAGGGCGTGGATACATCTTCTACATCCCCAATAAGGACCCCAGGGCTGGGGCCCCATTTGCAAGATTGTGCAGTGACCTGTTGCTGTCTTACTTTTTGATTCGCGAGAAATCAGAATGTTGCCGCAACAGGGCAAAGATACAGCTGCGCGAGACACAAATTTTGCCTTACTGCACAGGTGAGAGACATGTGGTGGTGAGGGTGGGTGTACTGCATCTGATGCACGGAGATCTTGCGGATCCCAAGGGCTGCCTCAACGACACGAGCCAGATATGTTGCTGTGCTTGAATGCCAATACCCTCACCCTCCCTGCAGTGGCCAACGTGGATTTGGCAGCTCCCATTGTGGGATCTCAGAGACCGACATTTCTTTTCATGACTGCCTCATGCATAAGAAGAAACAACAATTGTGGCAAATTCATGCGATATTCCGCAGCTGTCGCTTTCAACAACACTGCACCCGACGTCCAGGTTAGGAACCAGCGCCTTCCTCGCGTGGTACCATCGTTGTCATTAAATCCAATATTTGTCCTTGTGTGTTGCAGGTCTTATGCACAAACCTTCCTGTCAAGGTTTCCAAGTCGTACTCAGAAGTACAGCTGGAGATGCGGAAATCTGTCTTTTGTCTGCTTCCCCCGGGCGACACCGCCAGCAGCAACCGCCTGACGGAGACCATTCTGTCCGGCTGCATCCCTGTGGTGCGCGGCACTACGCTTGATTGCATGTTTCAGAGACATGAGGGTTGGGGATGATTCTCGCCGCCACTGACCAATGCGTGCTTCATGCTTTCCGCTGTGTTCTGCAGTTCATTGGGCCGCCGTGGCATGAGATGCCTTTCCACCGTGGCGAGGTTGATTGGGCCTCCATGGCGGTGTTCCTCAACATTACGGAGGCCAGCTGGCTGGAGAGTCCTGACTGTCAGTTCAAACAGCAGAAGTGGTATCAATCTGCGGATGTTGGGTTTGCAACGGTTTCTGTTCCAGACCTGCCAGCGGCATATGAGTACCTGCGGTGAGTTGCGTCGCAGCGCCGTGTGTTTTAGGTGCATGTGCGGTATCTGCCAGCCTGTGTGCGTTTGAACAGGCAGGGAGGGATTTTATGAAGAGGGGTCTGGCTGTTGGGTTGCAGGACAATGCCCAAGGATGCTTTGGAGCGCCACCAAGCGGCGCTACAGCGGGTAATTGTGTGTTGTGCTGCACTTTTTCGAAGCTCAGAGGCACTGCCCTGGTCTGGTTGCGCCCTGCATCCACTCGGTCCCCAAGCCACCTCGCAGTTGTGTCCTGCAGGAGAGGCCCAAATTTTTCTACGGCACCGCTCCGGGCCGGCAGTTCTCAGCGCTGGCAGATGTCGTCTTTGGCAACCTCATCGCATACGGTCTGCGGTTGAAGGCCGGGGAGTACACAGCATGACCTGAGGCATTTGTTTTGCTTTCCCTGTTTCATTTATGACAATGCAACGATACCAGGACGGTTGCCACCTTTTACCAGACGGACGAGAGACATGCCCGGATTGCAGTGGAGATTACTAATGCAGTGTAATCTCCTCCCGTCTGCGACGCTCAGACCAAACTGTACTGCAGAGTTTTCCCCGTCAGAAGGAAGTGTAAAATCCCTCTACTTTTACAACTACCATGCTCTCTGGGTGTCCTCTTGATTTTGGCAAACAAACTGCTGCGCACAAAACGCGCCACAAACCGCGCAGAAATGCAAATCCGCGCGGGAGTTTGTCCGTTTGCCTAGATGGATGCCCTTCAGCAACGAGGACAACGCACAGGCCTCAGGCGGCCACACAAGGCCTTGCTCCTCACTTCAGGTCGGTTCCGCCACACTGTCACTGGTCACGGTGTTAGCTGGGGCGAGCTGCATTGCGAGGGTCGCGGCCGCTATTTTCGATCGCGGCCGCTATTTGAGTCCAGTTGGTGCCAACCGCCGCCCACCTGCCGCCAGCGGCGTGGCGTGGCCCTGCCCTATCGAGCACTTTGCCTGACCATTCGCAGGGCTGTTTCTGGTTTGGGGTCTCTACACGGGCACTCTGCCATCCGCGCCTAGCCAGCATGTGACTCCCGCCATCTGTCAGGGGCAGGCAGTAACGCAGGTAGGCCGGGTGGTTCACTTGTATGCTTTGTATCCATGTCTGTTTTTGCTGCTCAAAGTCAACTCATGCACAGCCAAGAATAACCACAGAAATGCTTATACATATGCTTCTTCGGATCAACGTTTTGCAGGCCCCATTCATGCGGTGCGCGACTGCAAGATTTACATCCTCGATCTCTCTGCAGATGTGGCCCCTGCGCTGGGAATACCTCAGTGTGACATCAATGACCCAAAGGTTGGTATAGTGCAACTGTGAGGCTGAGATGGGCTGTTCATCTGTCGTGGGTTGTAATGGAGCCTGCCACACCAGCTCAGTTGTTGTTTCCATGCATTCACCTGCAGGTGTGGCCTCTTGCTGAGCCGGGGGAGCTGCCATGGAGCTTGCAGCGCATGGAGTCGATGCAGCACATGCACTACCAGTATGCTGGGCAGTACTGGCTGACACAGGCGCTCAGAAATGCCAGCGGCGTGCTGACTGACAACATTGACGAGGCGTGCCTGGTCTGGGTGGACACATACTGCTATCAGCAGGTCAGCTCATTATGCCCAGGGCGACTTGTTGGTGCTGCTGGGGAACCTGAGCACACCTCATTTAAATCGAGTTGGAGCGTGCTGGACTGCTTGTTCTCCTGCTCTCTTTGTGCAGTGGTGGATTATCCAGAGAGCTATCAGGAAGCGCGACTTGCCGGGTTACCATCAGAGTGAAATTGATGTTCAACGAGTGTACAATCAAGCGCTCAAGCACATTGCAACCTCTGAGCACTTTCAGGTTCGTTGATCAGTTGCAAGCGCTCCCACGCACCCAGAAACCCTTACTCCTTACTATGCTGTAGATGTCGATGCCCACTGCAGAGGCGCCAAGGGCGTGGATACATCTTCTACATCCCCAATAAGGACCCCAGGGCTGGGGCCCCATTTGCAAGATTGTGCAGTGACCTGTTGCTGTCTTACTTTTTGATTCGCGAGAAATCAGAATGTTGCCGCAACAGGGCAAAGATACAGCTGCGCGAGACACAAATTTTGCCTTACTGCACAGGTGAGAGACATGTGGTGGTGAGGGTGGGTGTACTGCATCTGATGCACGGAGATCTTGCGGATCCCAAGGGCTGCCTCAACGACACGAGCCAGATATGTTGCTGTGCTTGAATGCCAATACCCTCACCCTCCCTGCAGTGGCCAACGTGGATTTGGCAGCTCCCATTGTGGGATCTCAGAGACCGACATTTCTTTTCATGACTGCCTCATGCATAAGAAGAAACAACAATTGTGGCAAATTCATGCGATATTCCGCAGCTGTCGCTTTCAACAACACTGCACCCGACGTCCAGGTTAGGAACCAGCGCCTTCCTCGCGTGGTACCATCGTTGTCATTAAATCCAATATTTGTCCTTGTGTGTTGCAGGTCTTATGCACAAACCTTCCTGTCAAGGTTTCCAAGTCGTACTCAGAAGTACAGCTGGAGATGCGGAAATCTGTCTTTTGTCTGCTTCCCCCGGGCGACACCGCCAGCAGCAACCGCCTGACGGAGACCATTCTGTCCGGCTGCATCCCTGTGGTGCGCGGCACTACGCTTGATTGCATGTTTCAGAGACATGAGGGTTGGGGATGATTCTCGCCGCCACTGACCAATGCGTGCTTCATGCTTTCCGCTGTGTTCTGCAGTTCATTGGGCCGCCGTGGCATGAGATGCCTTTCCACCGTGGCGAGGTTGATTGGGCCTCCATGGCGGTGTTCCTCAACATTACGGAGGCCAGCTGGCTGGAGAGTCCTGACTGTCAGTTCAAACAGCAGAAGTGGTATCAATCTGCGGATGTTGGGTTTGCAACGGTTTCTGTTCCAGACCTGCCAGCGGCATATGAGTACCTGCGGTGAGTTGCGTCGCAGCGCCGTGTGTTTTAGGTGCATGTGCGGTATCTGCCAGCCTGTGTGCGTTTGAACAGGCAGGGAGGGATTTTATGAAGAGGGGTCTGGCTGTTGGGTTGCAGGACAATGCCCAAGGATGCTTTGGAGCGCCACCAAGCGGCGCTACAGCGGGTAATTGTGTGTTGTGCTGCACTTTTTCGAAGCTCAGAGGCACTGCCCTGGTCTGGTTGCGCCCTGCATCCACTCGGTCCCCAAGCCACCTCGCAGTTGTGTCCTGCAGGAGAGGCCCAAATTTTTCTACGGCACCGCTCCGGGCCGGCAGTTCTCAGCGCTGGCAGATGTCGTCTTTGGCAACCTCATCGCATATGGTCTGCGGTTGAAGGCCGGGGAGGTTCCACCATGAGTTGTACCACTTACCGAATTCATGATTTAATGAATGAAGCAGCAACGAATACAGCGCACCCATGCTAACTGGGGAGGAACACGCACAGGGTGTGGCTTGATGTGCACAGTTGGTCTTGAGCGGTTCCAAACATAATGTGTAACATATATTGCCAATGCTATCTACCTTATTCTTTCCTGTTTTTGTTTTTGGACACCCCAAGCCACCTTGAGCCAGAACCGCAGCAATCAATCACCACTCATTCACCAGCTGGCTTCTAGGAGAGATGCAGATTACAACGCTGGCACCAGGGCGAGCATGTACTGGTGACATCAGCTCCTGATGCGCAACTGCTTTTCCTGGCCTTGCCAGGCCGCCAGCCTGCTGTTGAGGTGTGCGTGCGTGCGGCGTGGGTTCTTGTTCTCCCGCACAAACCCGATGCAGTTGCGCTCTTGGTGGCCGTACAGCTTCTGGCTGTCCAGCCTGCTGGCAACCACGACATCATCAGCCAGCAACTCGGCACCACCAAACCTGCAGTCAGAAACAGACTCTCGCCATCAGCCTTCAATCAAAACCACGCCTGGCCAGCGGCAGGCACAGCATCAGCAACATAACAGGAACAAGGCCGCCTCACTGACTGTTGTCGGCAGCGCGCACTCACGTGCACAGCACCGGCTTCCAGCTGGGCGCAAACTCCTCGTCTGGCACCCCCAGCTTCTCTTGCACGCGTTGCCTCAGCTCCCCCACCGTCTCCTCTGGGCCCAGGCGCATGATAAAAGGGTCGGAGAAGGCAAAGGGGCGCTGCTGCAAGGGAGGGTCCCAGGGAATAATGCATGGCGGGTTAGTGCGAGGCAGGGTGTTGCAAGCATCCGCATCCAACTTGGTACCACACAATGGCAGCCCTGCAGGCGGCACAGCGATTAAGTGACGCACGTTGTTTGGCTCCTCTGCGACCTGGAGGCAGTGCACGTGCAGCACGCCCTGCTGCTCCAGGTCCTCCTGGTCCTCCGGCACAACCTCCACTCGAAGGTGCCAGGCATTGTCGCCAATGGTCTCCACCCGATCCCGCGGGTTGAAGAGCTGTTGCACGGTGGCGGCAGCGGTGGGAGCAGCGCAGGGAGTAGTTGGTGGTGGTGGGGTGGGGGTGGGGGGGCAGCAGCAGGCAACCTCAGCCCCAGCCAACACCAGTTGCAGCACAGCAGGTGCGGGGCAGGGCAGGGCAGGGCAGGGCAGTTGGCCTGTGCTGCTGCTTGCCCGCTGCTGCCGCCGACCTGCCAGATCTTCCACTGGTAGACCTCCAGCAAGCGCAGCGGACGCGTGCCCTGCGCCTCGGCTGGCAGCTGCCGCCGCAGATCCTCCAGAAGCTCATGGATGCTGGCGCTCTTGCTGATGCGCACGCTGTGCTGGCTCACCTCCTCCAGCTTAGAGTTGTGGTATGCAATCTGAGGGGCCGGGGGGTGGGCAGGTGGCAGCCGATGCACTTGGCGCGGGGCAAGCAGCTGATGTAGCGTAGTGCAGGCAGCAATTACTTCCGAGAAAGTGCCTATGGCTCATGTTCCTGCACGCGTGCGCCCAGGCCACAGGCAAAGGGCGCAGCACAAATGCATAGCTGCCGCCACGCCACAAATGGATCGAGCGCCTCACCTTGAAGCTCAGCAAGTTCTCGTAGTCGGGCAGCGGCAGGTCGATGACCTCATAGTACAGCGTGGACACCTGCGGGGGCAGAGCAGGCGGTGATCCAGGGCAGGCAGTCGAGGATGCAGCTGGCTGACAGCCAGTGTATGCGCATCTGACACCTCCCTTCTATACATGCATGGCTTGTACAGAAGGCAAGCAGCAGCGCCGGACCCTTCCCCCCAAGCTGTTTGCACACACCTGGCCAAAGGGCCCCGACTTGAGCATGTCCTGCAGCGCATCAAACTGGCGGTAGCGAATGGGGTGGGGCCGCGGCAGCTGCGTGAGGTGGTTCTGGCCTGCAGGGGCATGTGGGAAGCAGAGATGAGTGGGCCCCAGCGTAAGCAGACAGGCTCGGCTCAAAGGCAGGAGGCATGCCCGAAGCATGCTGGCCATCCTCTCCATGCATCTGGCCAACAAGCGCGCCTGTGAGCCGTAGCTTGAGCGGGTCGTCTAGCCCAAGCTTGGCTGCTATCGCCTTGGACACATCGTCATAGCTGTCCGTCTTCAGCAGCTCCAGCTGCACCGCCTCCTCGCCCTGCACGCAGCACCCAACCCACATTGGGCGCATGAGCCCAGCTGGCCAGCCAGCTACTGTTGCGCAGAGCATGTGCTTCAGCACTGCCATGCATGCGCAACCACACATGTCATCCTGTACTGGACTACCAGCCAGTTGCATGGTGCTCACTGTTTCGGCAGAAGGGGCCCCACCTGCGGGTCATCCAGCGGCTTGAAGGTGACCGACTGGCGGTTGCGCACATACTCCATGAACTCCTTGGCGCTGGGGCCCGCCGTGGCACCCGCCTCCGCCTGCGACCAGCGACGGCAATAGCGGACGACGCGGGTCGGGCAAACAAGCACAGGGAACAAAAAAAGACAATGAAGCGAGACGGGGTGGAGAAGCCAGAAGTACCACCTTGGCAAACACCAACACCCGCCCCTCTGGTGGATGGCGGCCCCGGCTGCCCCAGCGCCTTCCGCCCCTCTCAAACTGCTCTCGACTAGCACAAACCCCACACAAATCTACTCCACATTAACAGCCACCGCTTTCAATTGCCTGCCTGCTCCACCCATCATGACTACCAACCGCCCACTCGCATACCCAGACGCTGGCGCCCAGGGACCCACCTGCGACAGCTGGCGCTGGAAGACCAGTATGTCGCCGTGCTCCAGCTGGCTGCCCGCCAGCGTCACGCTGGGCGTCAGCTTGTCCACCATCACAGTCGGCTCAAACTTCACCTCCTCGTACACCTCCACCGCCTCGCCCTCCCCCAGACCCCCCAGGCCCCGCAGCAGCGGGTGCAGCTCCTGCGCCAGGGAGGAGACGCCAGGGCAGATGAGAAGAGAGGAGGGCAGACACAAACGCTACAGTCTCCCATGCGCCCTGTGCGTGTGTGGTGTGCTTAGCTGCACACGCAGGACGAGCATTGCCGCAGACCAGCCCAGACCGCAGCCGCCGTACTCTTCGGCGAGGACAGGAAGAGGGAAAGACGCGTCGTGGAGGGAAGAAGGATCATGAAGGGAATTGCGGCGCACCTTGATCTTGGTGTCCTTGGGCACCAGCCGCCGCCCCGCATACTTGAGCACCGGGTGGTCCCCATCGGGGCAGTACTGCTTGAAGAACAGCATGATGTCGGTCTTGGCGCGCAGCGGCGGCAGCTCGCCACCCGGGGCGGGCGTCTCCAGAAACAGGTTGAGCGTGGCCATGACCCCCGGCCGTGTGCCGCGGTTGGCTGCCGTCTCCTTGATGGTCTGTGGGGCGGGGGCCGGCGCACACCAGGGTGGGCAGAGCACGGACCCGACATGGTGTGCCATGATGCAGACGCGCACTAGCGGTTGTGGCTCGTGCAGATGGAGCACGGCCAGGCCATCCTCGCATGGCCCATGTGCGCATACCAAAGATGCATACCAGCCACCCCGCTGGCATCCGGCGCACCGCAATGGCCTGGTCTTCGCTTTCCAGCACCAGCGGCTGCGCGGGGCGGTACGTCTGGTTCTGCCGCTGCGCCCACTTCCAGAACCGCTGCTGCTCCGCAGGCACCCCCATCTCCTCTGCCACCAGCCGCCGCAGCTCGCTGAAGGGCGCCTTGCGTGGCAGCTTGAACGTCTTGGCCTGCATCACACAGTGACGCGCCACATGCCAGGCTGTTTTGCACTACAGCCAGCTGGAGCACCTGCCGCTGCACCCGGTGCCAACACAACACACCAGGTCTAGTGCGTTCGGGCAGCCGCAGTGTGCAAGCACAGCTGCCTTCCAGCAGCCCCGGTTATACTGCCTCCAACCAACTCTATATCTTAGCCTTGCCTTGTCGTGGTCAACCAGGTCAAAGAAGCGGGAGCTGCCAATCTGCTCTGCCAGGTCAGCATCCGTAGACACCCGTACCAGCGTGTACAGGTGCGCCTCCGCCTTCTCCTTTTTCCGCCGCTCCTTCTCCTCCTGCTCAGCCTGCAATGCATCCATGCCACACCACGACACCGTGCTCCGCATTGGGTGAGGGCAGCAGCGTTGGCGGCAACCGCCGTGGGTGCCGGCGTGGCTTCCTGTTCCGCACAGGCAGGGGCGGCTGCCCAGCACACGGCCCGGCACACGCATGGCAGTGCTTGCTTGCAAGTGGTGAGGTAGGCCTTCCCTGCCCTGCAGCATCACTCACCTTGAGGCGGGCCTGCACGTGTGCGCTGATGTCTTGCTCCGTCACCTGGCACATCACCGCACCCCACTCGCTCTCCCGCACATACACAAGCATGTACGCATTTGCGTGCTTGGTCAGTCGAAAAGTGTTGCCAAAGCCTGCCGGGGGGAGCCGCATGGAAGCAAAGCACGAGTCGTCCATTAAACATGCGCTGTGTACCGCTCATGTGGCACCTGGGTTCCCAGGAAACACATCCGCTACCACCGCCCTGCCTTGCCTGCACCGGCATGGCAGCAATCACCGCCCCGTACCTTGAGGCGGCATCCTCTCGTCCTCCCCACCCCAATTGTCGTCAACCGCCTTCTGCTGGTCCGCCTTCTCCACCCGCTCATCATCAAACCTGAGCCACTGCTTGCCGTCGGGCCTGCAGCGCAACAGGCAGCAACAGCCGGGTGTAGGCCTGGGTGGTGTGCTCCTCCCTGGTGCACCTTCCCCTGCACCTGTTGTGTGCAGCTGCCGCAACCCCGGCCATAGCAGTGCGCTGTGCTTGTGGTTCCTTTCTCTCAGCCCCACACCTGATGAAGGCAAAGTAGTGGCCTCCGTGCACGCCGCCCGAGTGCACCAGCACCGCCAGCAGCTTGTAGGTGTTGCGCACGTTGCGGTCGGCGCCGGAGGACAGGTACTTTCCATCCTCGCGGTCCAGGTCGATAGTGTCATAAAACTCGTAGCGGTCATTCACCTGGATGAGCGAGGAAGCATGAGGCGGTGGGTGAACGGGGCGTCCGCATCTCAGGGTTTCAAAACTATCGCTGCACACCGCGCTTGCATTCAGCAAACGCTGCCCCGATCCCCCCAAAGTCCAGATGACCCCCCAGTCCAAACCCCACCCAGCCCATGCACCCCCAGCCTCCACCTTGATCATCATGTCCTTCATGAAATCATACTCAAAGCGCTTGAGCTGCAGCTGCAGCACGGGCGGGAAGCCCTCGAACAGAATGCCCTTGCGCGCATCCTGCAGCCAGCCAGTTGCCAGTGCAGCGCGCAGTTCAGCCCACAGCCACAAGGCACAACCCACACAGGCTGAAGTCCTGGAGGCAGGCCGGGCAGGGACAGCGTGCCGGGGAAGCATGCTGCCATGTAGCACACGCGCTCCGCGCGGCCCAAATGCGCCGGCGCTGCCCACCCACGCCGCGCGGCACCGGCACATGTGTGTTCGGTGCTTGCCTGCATGCCGTGCTGCTCCGCATTGTACTGGTTGTCTCCCTCCAGTACCTCCACCTCGCAGTACTTGTCGAAGCTGGCGTAGATGTCCTTGCAGTTCTTCACATCCAGCTGCAGCGGCAGCTTGCATACGAACGCCGGTCAGCGCCCACAGTAGTCACGCGGCCGCCGGTCAGGGGGCACACGGGTGAGTGTGGCAGGCCACACTCCCTTCCCATAGTCACGTGCCGCCGCAAACGAGCACGGTGCGCTTCTGCCGCCTCACATCGCCCACAGCGTCTGGCGCAGGCTGTGCCAGCTCAAGGCGGCTGCTTGGTGCTGGCTGTACAGAGGCTGGGTGCAACAATTGGAGCCAGCTGGACAGCGCACCTGCACATCCATGAAGGACTCCTTGCGGGACGACTTGTACTCCACATTGATGCACTCAAGGTAGTTGAGCGTGTGCCCCTCAAACAGCTTGTTGATCATGCCCTCCACCCGTGTGCCCTGCAGCAAAGCACAGGCGCACAGGTTGTGCCGCATGGCAAAGCAACACCTGCCCCACCAGGATCCACCAGGCTGCCCACCCTCCGTTGCCACCCAGCCCACTTCAGCTCTCACCTTCATCTTTTCTTCCAGCCTGTCGCACAGGATGCGATTGAGCTCCTGCACATCATGCTGCTGGAAAGCATCTGCGGTATCCCACCCGAAGGAGCGCGTGAGGTCCTTGGTGGACACGGGACCCACGGTGAACTGCAGCTGCAGCAGGGCACAGGGAAAGGAAATGCGACGAAGGTTGGCTCCGTGCGGGGGCGCCACTCCCGCCCGCACAATCACCTCCACTCAAACTGCAGGTGTTTCAGGCTGCACAGGGCGGCAGGGCGCACCTTGTAGAACACGCTCTGGAGTGCTAGCGGCATGCTGCTGGCGGGGTCAGCATCCTCAGATGTGGGCATGTGGTACACAGCCTGCACGGCGAGCAGAGGCCCACTGTGTGTGAACTTTCTCCAACCTGGCCCAGCGGGAACATGGTGGACGGAGTCCCCCCAAAACTACCGCCGAGGTGCTGCGCCCCCAAAGAATGACCACCTCAATCACCAACTGCCCCACCACCCACCCACCACAACCACCCACCACCCACCACCACCACCACGCCAGCACCCTCCTCTACCAGTCACCTTGCGGAACTGGTTGATGTTGAACAGCGTCTGCAGCAGCGAGTTCATGTAGCAGGTGGCACCCTGGTTCTTCAGGCCCACAAACCCAGTCTCCTTGCGGGAGTCGTAGATGAAGTCTTCAGGAACCTTGACCTCCACACACACCTGCGGCAGGCAGGCCCCATCCCCGGCTAGCTGAGCTGCCTTTTCGCGGCGTGGTACGAGTGGGGAAGCCCGTTGCCAATCTACATTGGCAAGCAAGCGCTCGCCATGCAGAGCATGCAAGGGCCCACATGACGGCAACGCCTGGCTGTGGAGGGCAGGCAGAGGCGTCCCGCTTGCCTTGACGCGAATGGTGTCATCCACCAGAAGCCCCCGGGCGGGATCCCGCAGCTCAGCCAGCGGCACAAACGTGGTGAACCCTGCACGGCGCCCCGGCACCCCATCCAGGCTGTGAGCTTGCCACACAGCGCAACCAGCTGGCTGCAATATGCGACAACCAGCACTTAAGCCGGGGCAGGCCAGCTGGCTGGCTCACCCCAGTCTGTCTCTCGCGAGGTGAATGTGTGCTGCGTGTCCTTGACCACATCGCCACCCTCCACCTGGCTCAGCAGTATGAGCTTGAAGTGGGCAAAGCGCTGCAGCTGGAAAGCCGCCTGGTCGTCCTCGGCCACCGCCAGATACAGCGCCAGCGCATCGGTGCGGTTGTTACCGCTGGGGTACACCAGCAGCTGCCTGCATTCCATGGGCAGCAACAGCTCAGGGGCCGGACCCGCTGGGCACCCTGGCAGAAGGAGCACGGCTGCGAGCCGGCGGCAGGAGGGTCATCGAATCTTTTGCCACCCATCAAGCCAGTTAGCAAGCTGTCCCAGACAGTGCCAGACAGAGCAAGCAGCGAGGGTGTCCGTGGCATTATTTAAGGGCTTACCAGGAGTAGCCGCCAATCTCAAATGGCTCCGACAGAACCTTGCCAGTGCTCCCCGAGAAGTTGGGGAGCGCCCACTGCAGGCAGCAGCGCACGGCGGCGTGTATGGGCGATGTCTGGGCGGCGCAATCATTTGTGACACGGCAGTACGGTCATCATGGGCCAGACGGCCTGTGAGGCATGGACAGGCGCACGTCGGCGCCCCAACCGTCCTCGATGAAACGCTCACCGTAAACTCGCCCACCAGCGGGTTGCTCACAGGCCCGACGGCAGCCTCATCTACTGGCTTGTTTTCATCCACCTAAATTGGAGGAGAATTCCAGACTGTTTGATACCCAGCTTTGCTAAAACGCACCTCGTTGGAAGGCGGAATCTGCCGTCACCGGACCCGCAGCGGCGGGTCGCGGCGGCGGGCGGGGAGATACGCGCCACTGCTGCCGCGTGGTGCTGGTCGGGTGGGGGGCTACAGGGCTGCAACGCCTGAAGGGCAGGCACGCAGACTCTGTGCCCCTGCGCCGCGATCAAGGCAAGGGCTGCCGCGGGTCTGCGGCGTGCCAATCCGGGCCCCAGCTCACCTCCATGGGCGCAAGCACCTGATCCTGATCCTCCAGCATTGTGTGGAGGCGGGAGCCGCGAGCCGATCAGCGAAAAAGGACTAGGCCAGCATTGCCCACGTCTCTCTGCAACGCGCCCTGGGTCTGGCTGCGCTCTCTAGCAGCGGTGAGCCCTCGAGAAATTTGGCGTGGCAGGTACGGCTGCGGGACAGTCTTCTCCCTTCGCTGCGCCGGCCAAGCTCTCTCCTTTCAAGCACTCCATACTTGAATTCGATCAATTCAAGCCGAAGAGGCCCTGGCACACAGCGCCATGACGGAGACGGCGGGGCCCGTGGTGACAGTCACCAGGGAGCAGCTGGGCCTGGATTTAGGGTGCGTGTGCCGCGAGGCCCTTGCCACTGGACTTGCCCATATGCATCCTTGTTGCCGGTGAATGCATGTGGCACCAGCAACCCGCTTTCAGCGAGCCCTTGGGTTTCGCTGGGTGCGCTTGTTGCGCCATCATCGAGCCTGCCACCGCCGCCTACACTACCGCTGCTGTGGCCTGCCTGCCCGGGCCGCCACTCGCGCCGCCTGCCGGCCTCCTGTCCGTCGCAGGAATGCGCACGAGGGGCCCCTGACTTTTGATCTGGGCAATCTGCTAGCCTGGGACGCCAGCGCAGTGGATGCCGCCGCCTTTGCCGCCGACGGCGCCGACGCCTCCTGCCAGCGCCTGGCGCAGTCCATCTTCCAGTCGCTGGCCGCCCGCTTGTTTGCGCTGCCGTCAGAGGCGGCGGCGGTGGGGCGCGTGGCGCAGCTGCCGCGCCCCTCCACCGTGCTACCGCGTGAGAAGCCCATCCCCAAGCCGCGGCCGCCCACCAAGTGGGAGGAGTTTGCGCAGCGCAAGGGCATCCAGAAGCAGAAGCGCAGCAAGCTAGAGTGGGATGAGACGTCGCAGGAGTGGCGGCGGAGGTACGGCTTCAAGCGAGCCAACGACGAGGCGGCGGTGCCCATCATAGAGGCCCAGCCGGGAGACCTGGTGCGCGGCGTGCAGGAGCAAGCAGCAGGGTGCCAGGGATGCGCGCAGGAGCAAAGGTAGCCAGCATGCATTGCCTTGCTCATGCGCGGTTCGCTCTTGCCTGCAGCCCGGAGAGGACCCCTTCACCAAGCAGCGGCAGGAGAAGAGGGAGCGTGTGAAGAAGCAGCAGAAGCAGCAGCTGGGAAACCTTAAAGCGGCGGCCAAGGCCGGCGGCACGGCGGTGCTGCCACCCACCCTGCGCCTGGCGGCGGCACTGCCAGAGCATGGCAAGGGGCGGCCCGCCAAGCGAAAGGAGCTGCACTCGGAGGTGTGTGGATGCCGCGCAGGGTTGGAGGGTCGGGAGTGATGTGGAGCATGTGGGGCGAGCCGCCGCCAGCCAACGTGCATTGTGCACACACCAGCTGCTGCCACCCGCTCCAGCCCCCTGTGCCTCTCCGCCGTGCCATGGTGTGTTCCTCCGTGTTGCCATGCCTGCCGCTGCGCTGCACTGTGCTGGGCTGCCTGCAGCTCAAGTCGGCGACGCGGCAGGCGGCGGTGTCCACCGCCTCCATGGGCAAGTTTGATCGGCTGGCAAGGGGGGAGAAGCCAGAGGACCGGCAGCCGCTGGGCAAGAAGCGCAAGTTTGCCCCGGTGGCCGACAAGGTGGGCAGCAGGGCAGGCATGGATTGGCGAAACGTGGGGTAGGAGCGGCGGGAGCTCAGCCAGCGAGGTCGGCCAGCTTGCAGCGCGGTGTGCTAGCCTGCATACGCCCAGCCCAGCCCAGCACTACCCTGCACTGCATGCGCATGCTCGCCCATCTTCAGCCCTTTCATGCCCGTTCTCACACGCCATGCGCCGCGTGCGCGTCCCTGGCAAGCAGGGCGGCGTGGAGAAGCAGCAGCAGACCAAGCTGGTGGACAAGATCCTGTCCCAGAATGCCGACGACATTGTGGACATCACCCGCGCTATTGGCAAGTTCGAGGCAGGGGCACGCGAGGAGCGGTACCGCCTGAAGCAGAAAGGGTTCAACAAGAAGGGGCGAGTCGAGGGCGGCACCGGCGGCAAGGCCAAGGGCGGCGGCGGCAGGGGCGGCGGCGGCGGCAAGGGCAGGGGCGGCGGCGGCAGGGGCGGCGGCGGCAGGGGCGGCGGCGGCGGCAGGGGCGGCGGCAAGTAGATGTTCAGTTGTGTGCAGCAGCGGATCCTGGATACATCTCCGCGCCATGGCAGCCCTTCTTCACTTTACTCAACCAATGAAATGTAAGGGATGCAACCAAGAGAGTGCAATCAACCAGGAGGTGTGCATCCATCACTGCTCCAGCTTCTGTCGCTTGTTGGCCTCTGCAAACGCGATGCTGGGCGGGAGGCGGAAGGTGATGCACAGCATGATTTTGCCGGGGGCCACGTCCCGCACCACATGCTGCCGCGGCTCCACATCCAGCGTGCCGCCCAGGCTGGCCTCCACCCGCTGCCTAACGCCTGCACAGCGCAGCCATGCACATATGGCAGGGCAGGCTTGGTACCTGATAGTGCAGAGAGCCCCGGCATGAGCGTCAGCAGCATACCACATGCCAGGCAGGGGGATGGCAGCACACACTCTCAGCAGGAATTACCTGCCAGCTCCTGTTCTCCCTTGCAGAAGGTGTAGACGTGCACCAGCGGCAGCGGCTGCCCCTGCCACAGCTCGGGGCAGAAGCTGCCGCGAAGGGCGTCTAAGAACTCCACAGCCGCCGCCGGCAGGTTCATCACAATGTGATGGAACACCCCGCTGCAGCTGCCAGATGCCGGCCCCTGCTGCGGCCCTGCGTCCGCAGCACCTTGCTCCGCACCAGGTGACTGCGCTGGTGCGGCAGCAGCTGCTGCTGCTGCTGGCTGCTGCTGGCTGCGCTGCTGCTGCTGCCCCGGCTGTTGCTGCTGCTTGCCCCGCCGCCCCTTGCCCCCTTCCGCGGACGCCGGTACCACAGCTGCTGCTCCTGCAACGTCCAACCGCCCCGCCGCCGCCTGCCGCATGAAGTCACGGCCATCGGCGTTGAACGGCAGCACCTTGCCGGCCAGCCGGTTGATGCGGATGTTGGTGCAGAGGTACTCAAAGCTGGCAGGGTTGAGGTCGTTGGCATACACCTGAAGGGAGGGGCAGACGGAAGGGGCAGAAGGGAGAGCATGTGTAAGCACAGAGTGAGGCAGGCTGACGCCTGGCAGGTGTCCCCCCACACAGAGCTAACTCCCAAGCAGGCATGGGACCCAGCGGAAGGGTGCCGCCAGCTAGCAGGCACGCACCAGGCAGCCCTTGCGCGCGGCGGGGATGGCGAAGGGCCCAATGCCCGCCATGGCATCCAGAACTGCCTCCCCAGGCCGGAACAGCTGCACAAGGCGCTGGTGCTCACCCTCCAGCCGCGAGTTCCAGTAGACCTGCAGGCCACAGGGCGAAGGTCACAGATGGGTGCGTGGGCAGGCGGCAGGCAGGGCGGGCTGTGCCGCGGCCGACCAGTGTCGCAGAGGCATGCGATATGCAAATGCATACGCCACCTCTGCCGTTAACCCTCCACAGATGCCCTCCTGTTGCCAGCCAGACATGCAGGCAGCCGCTGCAGCGCCGCACCTTTCGAAAGTCGAGCCGGAAGCGCGCGCCGTGCTGGCGCAGCTCCGTCTCGGTGCCCTCCTGCCCTGCCACCAGCTCCATTGGGAACACACGGAACTCATTCTCAATGCTGGCCAGCTGCGGGCGGAGGCAGGGGGGGAGCATGCGCCAACGGCAGTTGAGCAGCGGCAAGGAATAGATGATGGGGCAGCAGGCGCAGGATGAAGGGCAGGATCCCGCTGTGCGGCGGTGGCTGCCAGGGAAACCAGGCCACGAAGCAGATGGCAGGGGCAAAGATGTTGCCTGGCATTTAAAACAAGGTGCTCTGCGCCCCGGGTCTGGTGCCCCTAGCTGGCTGCTCAGCCCACCTTGTTCACAACAGATTTCAGCCGCGGGTTCTTGTCAAGAATGACCTGCAAGTCGGGAAGATGGCCGCTCAATGCCGATGGCACAGGAGCAGGATCACCGGCAAAATTCACGACAGCAGGCGCCCAGCACCGACACATCTACCCAGCCGATGTTACCCAGGCACCCAGCCGCCAACCCACCTTGCCAATCAAGTGTTTATACGGCAGCAGCTCTGTCCGCAGGTTCAGGTGTGCGATGTGGCCCACGCTCTCAAATGAGCTGGGCACCTCGAGGCCCTCGGGGAGCAGCCGCTGCAGGCAGGGAGCAGACAGCAGGCAAGCAGTGTGACCACTCCTGCTGCAGCTACATGATCTGATGGCTGGCAGGCCTCCCCCCCCAACAATACAGGCGGGAACGCACTCACCCGCAGCACAACATGTGCAGGCCAGTAGGAATAGTCTACATCCACATGTGCTGTAGTGACTTGCAGCCCGTCGGCTTGCACCAGCTCGGCCACTGTCTTGGCGGAAGCCGCCCCCTCAATCTGCCTGCTGTCCAGATCTGCAGGCACACACCAAGCAGCAGTGGCAAGGCGGTCGGCGGATTGTGCTTGGTGGCAATGCCTGCCGCGTCAATTTGCTCGGTGCCAGCGCAAGGCCCTCTCCATGACGCACCTGCCTCCACAAGTGTCTCCTCCAGGAGCAACAGCCGCAGATCGGGGTCGCTGGGGTCCTCCATCACATTCCTTAATCGCGGCTTGTTGAACAAGTGCCTGCAGCGGCGCGGCATGGGAGTGGGCTGCCTGGACGTGCCTGCTGCTGCTGTCGCTCGTCAACCAGCGCCCAAGATGCACACACTACCCACTTGGAGAGCAGCTTCATGTACTGGCTGGTGTTCTGCTTTGGGATGCGGATGGCAGTCAGCTTTATCTGCTCGTCAAACTGCGCCTTGAGCTCTGCCGGCAGCGTGCTGCCTGCCGGACCCGCCGCCGCCGCCGTCGCTGCGCTGTTGTCGGCCGAGGCGGCCATCGCCGATGCCCAATCGGAGCGGCCCCGGCGGCCTACACTGATGTGTGCTGCTAAAAAACTAGGCGTATGGCCTCTGCGCAGCCAGCTGCAGGAGCGGAGGGGCGATGGTGACGGGACGCCGCCAAATATCGCCCTTCGGGCTGTGTATCTGAGGCACAGGAGGTCCGTGACAAGCTGCAAGCGAGAGCCGGCACCCAGTTGCCAGGGCATGCAGCAGTGTCCCAAGGGAGTTGCGCAGTGCCCTCTCAGAACTGCGTTGAGCACAATGCCGAAGACAAATTAGGAACAATGCAGTTTGACGAATGCATGCTCGGCCATGCGCGCGGGTTGGCAGCGGCCGCGGCCAGGCGTCGCCACCCGGCGGTAGTGGCGTTACAGAGAAGGGCTGAAAGCTAGTGCAAAGGAATGGGGCTTTACGATGCGCACAAAAGAATAAAATTGTGGTAAACTTCAGTGCCAGGGGAATGAAACAAACAAACTCTATAGCTGCATTCATTCGGGTCATCTGGGCGCGGGGCCCGGGTTACAAAAGCGCTGCATCGTGGGTTGACCTCAAGCCTAAGCCTTCTTGCCTCCCTTCTTGCTGGGGTTCTTGCGCATGCGCACCGAGCTGGGGGTCACCTACACAAAAGAAGGGCCAGGGCACCTCTGTCGGGGGGGCCCAACACATGGCAGAGCGCCCATCTCTCATCGTGCTTCATGTGCTGTTTACTTGCTGCTGCTTACCTCAACCAACTCGTCATCCACAACGTACTGCACATCAGAAAGGATGCAAGCATCTCGGTGTCAGATCATTGCGCACGGCGTGCCCCTGCCCACGCTCTGCCCACCAACCCTCATCCCACCGCACCTCTAGCGCATAGTCCAGGTTCACTGGAATCGCCTCTGAGATGACGGTGGTGGCATCCTTGGAGGCGGCCCGGATGTTAGTCATTGCCTTCTTCTTGCAGCAGTTGACCTGCATGGCGCGGTGGATGGCTGGACCTCAACGCCGATGAACTTCAGCTTTGCCAAGAGTCGGGCAAGATGGCAGCAAGCAGCCAAGCCCAATCAAGCTGCGCCCACTCCTCAGCCCGCCTTCCCACCTTGAGGTCGCCCTGGCGCTGGTAGATGCCGATCACTTGGCCCTCATACACCCCCTCTCCTGGCTTTACAAACAGGCGCCCACGCTGCTGCACCGACTCGAGCGCATACGTGGTGACCTGTGTGCATGGGGGCAGCAGAGGGCAACGTGTGAGCAATGCTCTCGCCTGTTTATAGTGCAACAGTCCAGGGGGCGAGTTCAGCAGGGAGGCGCAATCCCACAGGGATGCCGGGCGTGCAGGTTTAGGAATGCATTGCCCCGTCAGGGGCCTGGACCGATTTCACACGCCGCCCGCACCTGCCCGGTCTCGAAGCACACGAGGCTGCCGTTGTCGCGCGTCTGGATCTCTCCCACATATGGCGTGTAGCCAATGAGGTTGGTGTTGAGCACGGCGGTGCCCTTGGTGGCGGTCAGCATGGCATTGCGGATGCCCAGCAGCGCGCGGGTGGGGATCTCGTATTTGAGCCGGGTGGTGCTCTCAGAGCCTGCGAGGGAAGGCAAAATCAGCAGGCCAGGGCAGGCGAGTCAGCGCAGCGCACGCGTGGTCTCTGCTTCCACCACCGCCACTCCAGTTGGTGATGCAGCAATGCACCCCCTTGTTCTGCCGTTCTGCTGTGCAGTTCCACAGCACCCACCCGCGGTCATGTCCACCATCTGTGCCTTGCGCTGGCCCATCAGGTCCACCACCTGCCCCACATGCTCCTCCGGCACCTCAATCACAGCCTCCTCCATCGGCTCCATGCGCCCACCAGTCTGGGGGTCGATCTTGGTAATGACCTTGGGGGGGCCAACCTGCGGCAGGGGGTGGCGCGGCAAGGGCGCCGCTGAGCTCAGGTGGCGCCGTTCTGCCTGCCTGCATCCCTCTGCCTTGCGTGCCCGCCACCCCAGGCAGGATCAAGCAGGCTGTCCGGGACCAGCCATGCACGACTGTCGAAGCTGGCGGTGCCCTTATGTGATTATTTGCTTGCCAGCTCACCTCAAACTCATACCCCTCGCGCCGCATGTTCTCCATGAGAATGCCAAGGTGCAGGGAGCTGCATCAACAGGTGCAGGGAGCGAGCCGAATTGGCAGGTGCAGGGGGCGAGCCTGATCGGCAGGTGCGGGAGCTGGTAGCGCGGCGGCACATTGACTGGGCCACCCCAGGGCTGCCGAAGCACTGCCCCTGGGCCTCACCCGCGGCCCGACACCTCAAACGACTCGGCGCCCGCCCCCGGCTCCACCCGCAGCGCCAGGTTGCGCTCCAGCTCCCGCTCGAGCCTGTCCTTGAGGTTGCGGCTGGTCACATACTTGCCCTCCTGGCCGGCAAAGGGGCTGGTGTTGACGCTGAAGGTCATGCGCACAGTGGGCTCCTCCACCTGCACGCGCGCCAGCGGCATGGTCGGCGGCAGAACACAACTTGCGGCGACGAGCCGCGGTGCAGGCAGGCCGCTGCGAAGGCGCCACCCAGCCGCTCCCCGGCGGGCGCTCCTTTCCCTTGTCACTGCGCCCTGCGGCTGCGGCTGCGCAGGCCCGGGCGCGCAGTTCAGGCGCGGGGACGGGAGCGGCTCACCTCGATTGTGGGCAGAGGGCGTATGTCAGCGGGGTCGCAGATGGTCTCGCCAATGGACACCGCGCTTAGGCCGGTGAGCGCGCAGATGTCGCCCGCCGCCACCTCGTCCACCGCGGTGCGGGCAAAGTTGTCGTACACAAACAGCTCGCTGATGCGGCCCGACTGCGGCTTCACGTCGCCTGCGTGTGCGGGAGGGGCAGGTGGGCGGGGGCAGATGGGCTGCTGTGCCGGGCGGGACCATGCATCGGGTGCACCTGCCAGCCCATTCTGGCTTTGCAGAAGGGCTGAAAGGTGGGCTCGCACCTGGCTTGGTGAACACAATGGAGTCCCCCTTGCGAATGGTGCCACTCTGCACACGCCCAATGGCAATGCGGCCCTTATGTTCATCATAATCCAAGTTTGTCACCAGGAGCTGTAGCGGGGCATCCATCTGCGGCCAGGAAAAAGGGGGGAAAGGGGGAGGAGTAAAAAACATGTGTTCTGCCGTCGTTTGGCAGTGTGCAGCAGGGCTCCCCATGCTGGCCTCACCTGCACTACGGGGGGCGCCACCTCGCGCACGATCACATCAAACAGCGGCTCCAGGTCATCAGCCAGGTTGTCGGGCGAATCGCCGGCAATGCCGGCGATGCCAGAGGCATACACAACAGGGAAGTCTGCAGGCGGGTGATGTACAGAGTAGCAGCTGCTGTCAGCACACCAGCGAGGCAACAGGAGGCGGCACGCAGCTGCTGGACAGCGGCAAGCGGGGTGTAAACCAGCGGCGAGGCGCCCAACACCGGCTCACCGCACTGCTCGTCCGAGGCGCCCAGGTCCAGGAAGAGCTCAAAGGTCTGGTCCACCACCCAGTCGGAACGCGCCGCGGGGCGGTCCACCTTGTTCACCACCACCACCACCTGTAGGTTGGTGGGAGCAGGCTGGGCGGGCGGGTGGGCGGCCAGAAACTTGCACCGCACCTACCAAAACTCTGCCGGCGTGGCGCACTCTGGCCGGCCGGCGTGGCGGCCTGCCAGCAGCTGGCACGCAGCTTTGCCATATCCCCCTGTAGCCCCCTGCACTGCATACCCCGTTGATGCCATGCCAGCCAAGTCGACGAGGCCCCACTCCATCCGATGCAGCCCCCGCCCATCCCAGCCAGCCCCACCTTCTTGTTCAGCTCCAGCGCCTTGCGCAGCACAAACCGCGTCTGCGGCATGGGCCCCTCCACGCTGTCCACCAGCAGCAGCACGCCGTCGGCCATGTTGAGCACTCGCTCCACCTCGCCGCCAAAGTCGGCGTGGCCGGGGGTGTCGATGATGTTGATCTTGTTGCCCTTGTACCGCACAGCCGTGTTCTGCAGTAGTTATTGCGGGCAGGCAGGTCAGGCACTGTGCTGGCAGAGGGGGAGGCAGCAGCACGACGCAGCCTCCCCTTTGCCCCCTGGCAACCCAGTGACCTGGATGCATCCACCACACGGTGCTGCCCTGGGGCCAGCATGTCTGTAGGGCAAGCGCTCCCCTAATCTGCCTCCCAGATACACACCTTGGAAAGGATGGTGATGCCCCGCTCGCGCTCCAGGTCGTTTGAGTCCATGATGCGCGTCTGGGGTAGGGTGGTGGGGGTGCGGGGCAGGGCGCGGGGTGGGGTGGCGCAGGTGGGGTGGGGGCGAGCAGGACCTGGCGTGGCAGCTGATGCGACTGCTCCATGTGCAGGCAGCTCCCTGTGCAGTGCACAATGCACGCCAGGCAAGGCGCGCACCTCCACAGCCTGGTTCTCACGGAACACTTTCGCCTGCTTCAGCATCGCATCCACCAGCGTGGTCTTGCCTGCAGCATTACATTTTGTCTGCGCCCGTGAGTTGCTGGATGCAGTAGGCGCTGCACAGCATGCTGCTGATGCCCAGGTCCGTGCCACCTGCACCTCCACACAACTGTGGTAACTGCAGCTACAGTAACTGCAGCAGCCCTCACCGTGGTCGACGTGGGCAATGATGGCCACGTTGCGGATGTCCTCCCTCCGCGACTGGCCCCCGGCGGCGGCGGCGGCGGCGGGCGGCGCTGCAGGGCGCCACATCGGCACGTGAGCGGCTGGTCGGAGTGGGCAGTCGATTTTCCCATGGCAGTCAGAGTGCGGCTGCATACAACCTGCAATGAGAGCTGCTGGTGTAACAGGCAGAGCTGGAGCTCACCCTCGAGGGTGGCGGCGGCGGCGGTCACGCGCCCGCGGCGCTGCTGCATTTCCACCGTCGCGCTGCGCGCTCCACGTGACGCATTGTGTGCGCCTGCAGAGCAAGCAGCAGCACAATGTCCCTTATCTTGACAATGCATGTGATAGAGCGCGGGCGTCAGCCGACCAGCCGCACACAGGGGCACAGGTGCCACCACAGATCAACTTGTTGGTACCTGTGGTGGAACTTTTTGCCACCAGGCTGCTCCGTTGTGGTGGAATGGCGGCGGCCACACGGCCCGCAGCCTGTGTTCCCAACAGCATAGCGGCGGAGCACGATGATGCAGCCATTGTGGAGACGGTGGAGCAGGTCGCAAAAGAGAGGCGCTGCAGGCCCGCCCACATGACTGTGTACGCAGAGTTTTCGCGCCCTGCGCCACCTCAGCGATGGCATTAAAACAACCGAAAGGCAACATCTCACCAGTACAAGTGCTCGTGTGTGCGATTACTGGCGTCAAAACGCGCCCCTCTCGACATCGCCGCCTGATCAGAATCACAATCTCCAGGGGTCCTCTATCAGCCCGCTGGACGCTGCATTGTTCCAGAAGAGAGGCGGCCCCACTGGCGCACTGCGCATCAGAGTGGGCAGCGACGCATCGGGGCAGCACCGCCGCTGGTTACGGCGGCGGCGGGGCGTGACGCAGGCCAGCGGTGAGGGGCCCAGGTGGCAGTGAGGCAGGATGGTGGGCAAGGGCAAGGCCGACGTGCTGCAGCAGAAGAGTCCTGCCGAGTTCTTCGCCGACAACCGCACCATCGCGGGATTCGACAATGTGAGCGGCCAGCTTTGGGCTGCCTGAGGCATGTGGCAGCGCGCTGTGTCCATGCCTCCTCCCCTCCATCCATGCCTGCTGACGTTGGACCGCCCTGTTACGCCTGCAGCCCGGCAAATGCCTGTACACGACCATCCGCGAGCTGGTGGAGAATGGGTTGGATGCCGCCGAGAGCATCAGCCAGCTGCCGGACATTGACATCACCGTGTGAGCCGCCGCCCTGCCAGCACACAGGCGCCGGCCGCTCCCTTCCCCCGCTTCCCCATTGCCTGCCTGCCTGGCCCTGCCAGCTGCTGCTGCCGCCGCCAGCCTCACAGCCTGCCTCCTATGCGGCCTGCCTCCACACGTCGCTTGGCCTTGTGCAGTGAGGAGATCAGCCAGCACCGGCTGAACAAGATGCGAGGGGTGACCAACCATGACAGGATAGATGAGGAGCTGTACCAGGACTACGAAACAGAGGGTGCCAAGCAGGTGCTTTGTTTGTGGCAGGTTGGGGAAATGGTGTGGCATGTTGAGTCGCAGAGCGACCGTGCTCCCAGCTGGCAATGCATTAACCGTGTGGTGTGGTGCAGAAGCGGCTGGCCAAGGAGGCAAAGGAGATGGAGCGGCTGGAGAAGCAGGCAGCCAAGGTGGGCCCTGCCATTTTGGTGGTGGTGGTTTGTGTTTTGTAGTGGTGGTGGAGGGGCAGGTAGTCGGCACTGGCTTTGCTTGCTGCATGTGATGACCATGCATGCATCAGAGCTCTGCTTCCTTGCTCGACAGCAGCTGGCGGCAGTTGAGCAGGGCTGCGCTGTGGATGAGGGCCCCTGTGCTGCCCTGCTGCGCGGCGGTGTTTAAGGCGGGGTGCGGGTGTGTTCGTGCTCTTGTGCAGAAAGGCGAGAGCGCCGCGACGCTGGATGGCAAGAAGAGGGAACTGGAGGCGAGGCGGGCGGCGCAGGCCAAGACCGAGAAGAATTTCTTCAAAGTCACCGTCAGGGTGAGCGGTAGATGTTTTTTGCTCTGCTGCCCTGCCCCGCCCCGTGTACTGCACCTGGGCTGCTCCAAGCTGGGCATGCGTTACTCCACGTGTACACTGCCCTGCCGCTCTCCAAACGCCGTTTACACTGCCCCGCTCCCCGCTCACTCTGCCCGCCCGCCTCTGCCCCCCGCAGGACAACGGCATGGGCATGGCCCACAAGGACATCCCAGACATGCTGGGCCGAGTGCTGAGTGGCACCAAGTACGGCGTGAAGCAGACGCGGGGCAAGTTTGGGCTGGGCGCCAAGATGGCGCTCATCTGGTCCAAGATGAGCACGGGTGAGGGCAGAGCTTGTGGTGGTGGTGGTGTGTGTGTGGGGTCAGTAGCTATTTAAGCTCTGTGTGAGTGTGAGGGCTAGATTGCGTGTGGTGTGTGGTCGTGGGGAGTTCAGTGTTTCCTTTTGACCTCTGCTGCACCTTCAGCTGTACTCGGCTCCCCCTGTCACACCAACCCACTCACACGTTACCTGCCCACAGGCCTGCCCATCGAGGTGACAAGCGCCCGCTGCGGCTCCGCCTCCATCTCTTACTTCAAGCTGGACCTGGACATACAGAGGTGGGCGGCAGAGTTTGTGTACGTGTGTGGTGGTGGTCCAGGGCGGGGCGGAGTGGCGGTGGGTGTTGAGGGGCGGTCAGGCTGCGGCGACAGCCCGAGCTCCCCATGGACCCTTCCTGCTGCCTGCCGCAGGAACCAGCCCAACGTGCACGAGCAGAAGCTTTTGGACAATGGGGAGGGGTGGCACGGCGCGGAGCTGAGCGTGGTGATTGCGGGGAACTGGCAGTACTACCGTGCCAAGGTGTTCAAGTACCTGCAGCAGATTGCGGTCATCACGCCCTACGCCCAGGTTCGCCGCCCCCAGCCCAGTGTGCAGCCCAGCTGCTGGTGCCAGGATGTGCCATGTCTGCGGTCCATTTCGGATGCCTGCTGAGGCTGGGCTCAGGCCACCACCCTTGCCCCCCGGCCTTCCGGTGGCATGCTGCCCATATGCTCCTTTTGTGGTCGTCCGTGTGTTGCAGTTCCGGTTTGTGTTCAAAGCGGAGGATGAGAAGAGCAGCGTGCGCATCACCTTTGCACGCCGCACAACCACCATGCCGCAGCCGCCCAAGGTACAGGGGGCCTGTGGGCAGGCTGGGGGCCTGTGGCCTGTTTGCCAGCCATCGCGCCTGCCTCCACCCCTATCCAGCCGGCGCTGTGCCATCGATGTTTCTTCGGCAGACTGCACTGCCACTTGACAGCGGCCATGGGCCCCTGGCTGGTTGGCTGCCGCTGGTTGCAGGCCACCAAGCACCACCCTTCCTCTGTGGACCTGGAGCTCATCAAGCGCCTGGCCTCATCAACCAACTGCACCAGCCTGGCTGCTTTCCTGAGCAAGGAGTTTGACTGCATCCGCCGCGACCTGGCAGGCACGTGACGGCCTGGTAGGCGGGCAGCCAGGGGCAGCGCGTTACAGGGTTGCTGACAGGGTGCATTTGGGTGCAATAGCCGCGCTGGTGGCTTTGTTGGACCTTGCTATGATGAGTCTGTGCAGACCTGGCTTGCTGCCCACTCGCTGGCTGTCGCGTGGGTACTAGACTGCTCCCGAGGCTGTGCCTGCGCCTGCGTCTGCAGAGAAGATTTCGCTGGAGATGCGATGCGACCCCTCTGTCAGCCCTGCCGAGCTGACCGGCAAGCAGTTAGTGGCCATGCACGACCTGCTGCACCAGCTGCGCTTTCAACCCCCGGATGGCAACCACCTGAGCCCTGCAGGTGGGTGCACTGGGTGCATCGGCGTTTGAAACAGAACGTGCCTGCGTGCCAAAATGCTAGCACTTTATGTGGGATTCCTTGTTGAGGCGGTTACACAATCTGGTCTTCCATACTTGTAATTGGTGCTGTGCCTTGCCACCTCCCACTCTTGTCACCAACCCCTCGCACTACCCGTAATAACCACCTGTCCTGCAGGCGAGTACAACCTGCGGCTGGGCATCATGAAGGAGCTCCGCCCCGAGATGGTTGCCACCCACCAGGGCACCGTGGGGGTGCACGAGGGGCACGCCTTTGTGGTGGAGGCGGCGGTGAGCGTGGGCGGGCGCAACATCAAGCCCGGCCTCAACATTCACCGCTTCGCCAACCGCATCCCGTTGCTGTTTGAGGTGGGGGGGGAGGGAGGGGCTGCAACGTCTGCTAGCACAGGTTGCACACGTAGTATCACGTTTTCAGCATGCGGCATGCTGATGAAAAAAGCTTGCGGCATGCTGAGCCGCGGGGACTGGCGCAGGCTGTGTTGCAGCATTGGGCGCTGGATCCCAGCTGTGCCTCTCTGCCTGTGTAGGGCGGCTCGGATGTAATCACTCGCACCGCCATCAAGCGCATCAACTGGTCTGCCTACAAGATCAACCAGTCATCCGACAAGGTGCGACGCCCTGCGGCGGCACAGCGGGCCAGGCCAGCAACACGCCAGCTATGTCGTGAGCAACTTGCTCAGCTGGGGTGCGGCCATGCAGGTTGGGGTGTTTGTGTCGCTGGTGTCAACCAAGATCCCCTTCAAGGGTGCTGGGAAGGAGTACATAGGTGGGTGGCTGGGGGGTGCTGTTGTTGTCGAGCTGCTGACGTCAGCTGCATGATGGATCCGTGTACAGTGCCAGTGCGTTTGAATAGCAAGCCTGGCCAGGCTTGTTCTTCGGGGATTGTTTTTATGCTTGCACACAAACCGGCGCAGCAGCGCTGATCGAACCTGCCTGGAGTGTGGCGCGCGCCCGCCTGCCACGCTGTGCAGCCGATGATGTGGAGGAGATTCAGCAGGCTGTGCGCACCGCCATCCAGCAGTGCTGCTCGCAGCTCAAGAACAAGATCTCCAAGCAGCAGGCGGCGCGAGAGCAGCGGCTGCGCAAGAAGAACCTCACCAAGTACATCCCAAACGTGGCGGCGGCGCTGTTCACGGTGCTGCAGGCGGTGGCAGAGCGCAAGGAGGAGCCAGCAGGCAAGACGACACGCCCAGGTGGCGGCTGTGGGGTAGCCCACAGGGCGGTGCCGCAGGCATCGGCCCTGCCTCTGTCCGTCAGTGGCTGCTCTGTCTGATAGGCTGCAAATCTGTGACCCACTGTTCGACCTTCCTCACGCACACCCTTCCACCCCATTCTGCAGCAAAGCGGCGGCGGAGGGATGAAGAGGCGGAGGAGGTGGTGGTCGGGGTGCGGTCAGGCGAGGTCACTGAGCCCACCTTGGCAGCTAAGCTGCAGCAGCATGTGGAGCAGATCGACGTAGACATGGTGAAGGGGCTGGCTGGGCTGGGCTGCTGGGGGCACAGCACACCATTGCGCTCATGCTGCACAGCCCCCCGCCGCGTGTGTACAGCTTCTTTTGGATGTGCTCACCACCCCTCGACCACCCAATGTCTGCCCTGCTGCCCTGCGTTCCCGCAGGCGCTAGAGTACCAGCTGCAGCAGGGCGTGACCGAGGCAGCCAAGGTGGAGGCCTGCCTGATGCCGCACAGCGCGCGGCACCAGTATGGGCCGGAGGCGCACTGCGACGTGGGCGTGATCCGACGACTGCAGGAGCTGTGAGCCGCCACCCGGCCATCTGTACATCATTGCCATCTGATCCACAGCAGCAGCAGCAGCACCAGCAGCGCAAGGTTTACACAGCAATGTGCTGGTATCCAGCCGCCCGGCAGGGCGGCATTATCCAGAGACAGGCAGTGACAGGCGCACGAGCGTGTTCCCTATATGATCAGTCGGCGGTTGCTCTTGAACATCATCCGCACACCCATGACCTGCAACGGCACCATTCGAGCAAGCAAAACACCACTTGGAGCACATGCACAAATCAAACACGAGTGCAGGAAAACACCCATGCGTGCATGCACGTCCAGGCAGGCAGGATTCCACACCATGCATGCAGGCAGCCATGGCAGTGGCAGAACAGACGGTGGCAGCGGCGCACCTGTACAAAGCTGGCCAGCACAATGGTGCCGCAGATGAGGAGCATGTAGCCCAGCGCGCGCGCGTGGGTGCTCTGCGCGGTGCGCAGGTGGCGCACGGTGCGGGCGTATAGGTACCGCTGCTCGTTGGTCACGTTCATGAGGTAATAGTCCAGCCGCTGCAGCCCCTGCGTCACCTCCTCCACCTGCTCCACGGTGCCTGCGCAGCGGCAGGCGGGGGACCCAGGTGGTCGTTGCGTTTTGCAGGTTCTCGGGCCACCTGTGCCCAGCCTGCTCTCACCGCACCCCAGCTCCACGTCCGGCTCGCTCACCAAGGTGCTTTGGGTCGAGAGCCGGCGGCGACTCGCCACCGGCCGCGGCGTTGCGCTGCCACTCGAAGCTGGTGCCCACCAGCGACATGCTGTTCACGGTGAAGTAGCTGATCTTCACAATCACAGACGGCCGCAGGATCTGCAGATCGCCGACAAGCAGGAGAAGCAGAAACGGCAGCCTCAGGCCGTGCACTCAACCCAAAGCATACAGGCAGCGGGTGAATACGGCTGTGCAGCGCAGCGCGGCGCACCTGGCCTTTGCTGACGCGGAAGCACGCCCGCCAGGGACCCTGCCCGCCCTCGGCAGTCACTGCAGGGTGCCAGACCAGCAGCAACAGTCAGCCGACCCTTTCATACCGACAGGCTCCTCAAAAGGTTCTGATGCAAATGACAGGGCCCTCCCCCATAAACAAACAGCCCCACTCACCCCCAATGACATGCACACACACTACCCTGCACTCGTGTGCGGCTTGCCTGCTATCTCCGTCTCGCTCACGGCATCCTCCTTGTGCACGCTGTTGCCGGTGGGGCCGTACACATTGAAGTCCACGGCGGCCTTGTTGGCCTCTGTGCCATACCGGCTGGTGATCTGCGGGACAAATAGCCCCAGGGCCGCAATCACAACGCCATGTGTCTCAGAAGGCCCTGGCCTCCAGAATCCCTGCCCCTTTGTCTGCAACCACTGTGATGCGCCAGCACAAGGGCGCATCTGCTCACCACAAAGCCCAGGTCCACAAGCACGTGCGTGTGCTCTGGCGTCTGCTCCTTGTTCTTCACCATCTCCCACTGCACGAAAAAAAACAACAATGTGAGCAACATGGGATTCGTGGCCGCCGCATGCCAGCACATAGATTTCTTATCGGCGCCGGGCGCGCCACAGGGCGCGGCCGTGTGGGCGGCGGAGGTTGGCCTGCGTTTGGGGTGCGCTGCCAGCACCTGCACCCCACCTGATAATCGGGCATGATCTCAGTTATGCACTCCTCCCTGCAGGAAGCGGCAGCACGGGGCTGGGAGAGTAACACGGAGGTGTGGCTTTGCGAGGTTGGGATGCCCCAAGGCCTGCACGCACTGTGCGGCCACCCTGAGAGTGTACCTGCCGGCAAACAGGCGCCAAGCCAGAGCATCGGCGGAGGAAGCGACCAGCAGCAGGGCTGCCGCCGCCAACCAGCAGGCCCCGGGCTTCATCGAGGCGGGGTGCTGGCGAAAGATCCGATTGTGCAATCCAGGCGCCGTGCAGGTCGCGCTGCTGTAGTGCTGCACTACTCTCGGCGCGAAGACCCGAAATTCCGTGCTCAGTTCATAGATGGCCGCAGTCACAGTCGTGCACGCACGCATGCAAGCGATGCGCCACGCGACACGACTTGTTGCATCACCGTGACAGCCCAAGAGATCAAACCCTCGGCTTCTGCCTGCCCGCATGGTTGCCACAGGCGGTGGACCAAACCCTGGGGCACCCAGCGCGGGAAAGGCGGCAGGCGCAGCCAAGGGCGCCGCTGCGGCGGGAGGCGCGGCAGCAACAGGAGGTGAAGTGGTGGTCTTGCAGGGAGCCAGCCGCGTTGTGTGATCACCTGCTTCCCAATGCCAATTCTCGGCGAACCATCGCACCCCGCAGGCGGCGTACGTGCATGGTGGGATGGACTCTGGTCAGCGCACGGCCCGGTGATGGAGCAGCGAGTGAGGGGCGCTGTGACCAAGCTGCAGGTGGGGCAAGCAGAGCTGAGGTTTGCATACTGCACTGCACCATCAACAGCTGCTGCTGCGGCATGGGGGCTAGCCTGTGTTTGCCGCCGCCCCGACGCCATGCTTCATTGCGTGTTCGCTTGGCTGCCTGCTATCTTTGCCTGCTGCCCACCGGTCCACATGTCGCTGCCTGTTGCGGCCCGCCACTTGTGCAGAAGACAAAGTGGACCATGCCTGTAGATGTCAAGGTGTGTGGAACAGCTGGCGGCTCATGAACCAGCTGTGAGCCATTGTCACCTGTGCCCCTCGTCAACCCTCACAAGTCGACCCCCTGGTGGTGCAGGTGGACTTCCTGAAACCGACCATTGAGACGGTTTCGGAGTCATTGAGGGGGGCATGGGTGCAGCTGCCGCCACCCGTGCAGCAGGCAGCGCCCTATGTGGGTGTGGCCATGGGCAGCGGAATCGTCGTGTATGCGGTGCAGCAGCGGCGGCTTAACCAGCAGAGGGAGAGGAGTGCGGAGCTGCAGCTGCAGGTAACGGCGCTGCACAAGGAGCGGCACGAGCTGCTGCGGCGTGTGAACACCCTCAAGGTGAAGCAGCAGCACACCAGCTGCATTGCATGTGCATCAATGCCGTTCAGGTGTTGCTTGAGTGCGCATGCTGCTGCTGCGCACATCGCTGTCATGCTACTTGTGCCAGTGTGAAAACCGCTGACCTCTTTTTGTTGTCGGCAGGCCAATCGTGCACCCCGGACGGAGATGGAGGCGCGGCTGGCCAATGCTGTGGCGGAAGCCACCAATGCAGCAGCCGCAGCTGCTGATGCGGCAGCCAGGGCGGCGACGGCCTGTATAATCCAACGACCCTAGTTCAGCCCACGATTGACGCAGCAAGCTTAGAGATAGTTCTTGGAACTTGTTGTTTGTTCATATTTGTTAGCTTTTCCTACAGGGTTCCTGGCTGCAATGGAACTGCATTGCTGACAGCTGCCATGAGCATTAGTTGTAATGTCATCTCCAACTGCCAGCCCGCTCAGCGGCTGCCCTGTTTGGCTGGCACCAGTGCAGCCTAGTCGTAGAGGTCCCCCTGCAGATTTGTGCTGTGTTTTTGTGACTTTCAAGCCGTAAAAACGTAACCCTGTGCGCCCTGTTTCTACCTCTGCAGGAATGAATCCCAGGTCCGGAACATGGTGTGACGCATTGAGTTGTTGCATTTTGCAAACGAGAACAGCGGTATAACACAACAGCTTGGCTAATGGACATGGTGTAGCAACTTGGGGGGCTTGAACGTTACGTGCAATGACAGAGAAAAATAGCATGATGCAGCGCAGGTGCTGCATTTCAGGAAAAACAGTGCGAAACACAGACAGTTTGCGGTGAGATGTATTGTGCCGGGCAGTTCTCCTACATTTTCCCAGCGTGCTGCTTTTTGTTGCACTTGCGGCGCTTTGCCTGTCGCTCCTCAACCAGCGCATCAGCCCTCCGTGCAGCCTCAATCAGGGGGCCGCTGCGGCCTTGACCTCCTCGTCGCTGGCCCCTGCAGCCCGCGCTGCATTCTCAGCGGTAGTCACAGCCGCCCACGCCTTGGCCGCCAGCGTCTTCGCATTCTTGGAGCCCAAGGGGCGCCCCCTGCGCTTAGCTGGTGGCGGCTGGTAGTGGCTGTCGGTGGCTGGTGGTGTTGTTGGCTCATGCGATTCTAGCAATAGCTGCAAAACAACAGGGAGGGGCTTTGTGGATTAGCACGGTGAGGCTGGTACCTGGGACATGGCAGGTACTTAAGCTTGCTTTGCCAGACAACAGGTTACCCAATGCGGGCAGGTGCACACTGGCGGAACTCACAATTAAGGCTTCTGCCCCCTCCTCTGCCTTTTTGCGCTCCTCCTCTTCCTTGTTGTGCTCGTCGCGGGTGGAACTCATAAGAACTGACGCGCCAGCCTCAGCGGGGTTGTCATGCTGCGGGTGCTCCCCCACATCTGCCGCTGCCGCTGGCCCTGGGACTGACCTTGGAATGGCTGCATCCTTCCGACGCTTGCTGTCCGGCTCATCATTGGCCCGCTCTGCCAGGTTTGCCTCCTCATGTGGCCGCTTCCTGCCCTTATTCACCTGCTCTACTGCCAGCCTGCTCTCGGCTGCTCGCAACCGTGTTGACAGCTCTCCAACCCTGGTAGCCATAAAGGTGACTTTGACTGCTGCCACATCCAGCTGGCGCTTTTGAGAACTGATCTTCGCCATCAGATCATCAATTTTAGGTTGCTGCATTGGTTCAATAAGGCAGCTAACTATGATGCTGAAAATACAATCATAATTTCTTACCAATGGCATGCCTGCACTTCCAGGGAACTGATGTGATGTGATCTTGCACATGTTAACATTACGTGACTGCAGAGGGGGGGAGAGTCACCTTGAGAGGTTGAGCTGTGAGTTCTTGGTGTGCAGTAAGATGGTTGGGGCCCCGGGCCGCCGTCATCGGCGCCATACCACCACCTAGCACATGGCGCGGGTGGAGGCATGGCGCGGGCGGAGGTTAGGGCAAGGATGTGATCATCCCTACCCATGACAATGTTTCTTGAAGCAACCTTAGAGAGCCTGCACATTCTTGCCCCCTGATACAGCTGGGGTTGAAAACCAAACAGCCAAATGCATTGGGCGGGGTAATCCCTGCCACACACACGCACATGTTTTCCATGGAAAACATGTGCGTTGCCTATGTAGGCAACGCCTTCCCAAAATGTATGCTCACCACGCTTAAGCGTGCCATTCCGGTACCCCAGACCGATATGGAGTGTTGTGCGCATTCCGTCCCTTAGCAGTGGCGACGACCGCCGGGATTTAGTAGCCGTAACGGAGCCGATAACTTGCTGCGCATGCGGCACCAGTTCTGGCTGCTCTGCAAACCGTACGCAACATTCCTCGACAGCCCGTTGCTCATTGACCCGTGCCTTTGTGCTGCCACGGCCGCGGCGGTTCTGGAGGAACTGATCCATCAAGAGAGTCCTTCACTTCAGCAGCAAACCGGTGCTGCTGCTTGGGAGGTTTGCGTGCCCACTCTTTCCTTTGGGCGAGACGGCGGGTCTCAAGTGCCCACCCAGCTGCCAGCAAGGGCATCTGCTCGCTGCCACTGTCCAGCGCCGCTGCCCGTGCCGGCACTGGTGCGGGAGGGGCCATCAATGCGCCAGTAGCTTTCTTGGGCTCTGCCTGCTGTCAGCCTCATTGACCAGTGGTGCTGTACACATGGGCGACAACGGGGTAGTAGGCAGGCCGCGGGAAGCCGCGGGTGTAGAAGCCGCGGGTGTAGAAGCCGCGGCTTCTGTTAAACTGTGCTCCGACAGCGCGGCCGCACAGTACGCCGAGGTACATGGCCAAACCAGTCATTCCGCAATTCTCTTCTTCTTCTTCTTCTTCTTCTTCTTCGGGGCACGCGCTTGAGGCCTCCCGTGACCAGACACGGTGGGCCCAGGAGGTGCACCTGCGGGGCACGCGGGGGACAGCGCCAGCCACCCAGCCACCTACGGAGCACCAACCGCGGCCCGGTAGGGCTGCGCTGAGCCTGCGCGGGCCTGGCTGAGATGCCGCCGCCTGCCGCTTCTGGTGGCCACACAATATTTGTACGCGTGGCTCTGCTGCAGCTGCTGCCGAGCGTACGCGTCTACAGCTGTTTACTTTTTTCTCCCTTACCATCACACCATGGTTGCAGACCTCATGTTGTTCAGTTACCTCAACCAAAACACGGCTGAATGGATAGTTCGGGAGCCCACAATCACCATCATCAAGATGTCCGTTCTGCCAGGCGACGGCAATCTTGCGCAGCTGGAGTTCTTCAACGCTGATGGTGTCAACGTTGGTCGCGGCGAGTATATGCTGCGCCATGGCTACGGCCTGGACGGTGAGGTCGCACCATACGTTGGCGATCGGTATATCCTTGACTACCGCAACAGCTATTCCATGGTAGGTCCCAACGGTGCTATCGTCTTTACTCTGAACCACCAAAAGCAACAGAGCTTCAACTGTCCTGGGGTTGATTACATTGTTCGCTACCCGAATGGCGCCATCAAAACACAACGCATAGCTGATGTCGTGGAGCCGGCGCAGGAAGCGGTTGGGGGTCTAGCCACGTGCACTTGACGTGTGACGGGCACCTCCTCGTGTTACAGAATGATCCCTTTAGCTGTAACGAACAAAACAAACCGGGCCGTCTCGGCAAGCCGCTGCCGCTGCAGCCGTCTACCAGCACCCGCAAGACCTCGCGCTCTGGAACCGGGGAGTTTAGTGCCGCTCATCCGGTCCACAGGCTGCGCTGGGCCTGCGCGGGCCTGGTGTGGATGCCCGCCTGCGCCTGCTGGCTGTGATGGCGCAGACGTCCGTTAACCCGAAGAATAATATTTTGCATGGTCAGATGGCCAAGCGAAAGGGTCGTGACTTTGATGACGCTATTTCTCCTTAGCACAAAGCCGATGACGCCCCTACTGTCGTGCCATCTTTGCAGGCTTTTATCGGTGCAATGGGGTATGCACAGCCAACAGCATCTGTTGCCCATACAGTGTTGCCCATACGCATTGCGCTTCATGCATTGCCGTCCACAGCTGCAGCACATGCGATGCCGGTTACTTGTTGAACGCCAAAAAAAGGGTGCGCTGAAAAGGCCTCACGATCCCAGGACGAATCTCTTCACATCCTGATGTCTGGACTTACTATAGCTGCTTCATTCCAATGGTGCAGTGTAAGGCGATTCCGTGCACAGATCCCAGCAGCCCTGCGTACAGCGAACATTGCGCTTCATGCGACGGCATGAACAGCTGCAGCACATGCGATGCCAGTTACTTGTTGACAGCCCAGAAAAGGGTGCGCTGAAAGTTCTGCGATTTGTCAGATGATGATGTTGCGGTGCAAGCAGGAGGACGGAGAGTTGCGGCAGGTGGCGCTCACTTGCCCCTTCGCCTCGCGCGCGCGCGCGCGTGCCCCCCCCCCCCGTTGGGCTGCAGTGCTTGAGGACACCCCCAAAACCCCGCCCTCCGCCACCTCAGTCAGCTTCGATGGTAGGCGGCCCTCACGACATTGGCTTTAACTACAAGGGTGGGTCCCCCTACATACCAATTGCCTGGCTGGCTGTGATTCGGTATCACTTACCTTGCTGGGCCGACCCTGGGCAGGAGGCCCTAATTGCGGCTGGCCAGACATCACACCATGGGGGAGGGCTAGCGGGGGCGCGGGCCTGGATGCATGCTGGCGTTTGCTTCAACCAATTGAAGAACCATTTTGTATTCGAGACAACTACCTTAAGCTTGTTGTGGGGACTGCCCAGGCCGCTCATCCACCGTCTGGACCTGCTAGCTGACCCACCCTCCCCGCCCGCTGTGTCCAACTCTTCTACCTGCAGGCGGACCGTGGACCCGTTCAAGGGCCACGTCGGTAAACCCTACAGCATCTACACGGATGGCAGCGGTGTGAAGCTGATTGCCACAATGGGCACAGGCGGGTTCAACCACCGTGACATCTTCATCCGCGCCATTCATGTCCAAAAGGGCAATTCTTCTGCGGCTGCCGTCCTCCAGAAGCTGGGCAACACCTGGCTGCTGCGTGGTGGGTGTTGCCGCTGCATGCGGGTCAGTATGTTGGGCAAGCGATGGCAGTAGCTCAGGGCCTTGAGTGAGCGGTCAGCCATGAATGCCAATCTGCTCGCTTGGCTGCAGTGACGGCCAATGGCAAACATGGCAGGGGTTTGCAGTTCGTCAAGATTACCCCTGACATCCTGGTGGACGTGGGTGCTACTTTGCGCTGGCAAGTTGGACCCGACCCTGCTTTTCTTTGCAGCATTATGTGCTCGCACGCCGCCCTGTTTCTACCTCTGCAGGGCAATTGCAAGTCGGTGTCTAGCCGTGAGTCCCAGGTCTGGAACTTGGTGTGACGCATTCAGCGGTATAATACAACAGCTTGGCTAATAGACATGGTGTAGCAACTTGGGGGGCTTGAACGTTACGTGCAATGACAGAGAAAAATAGCATGATGCAGCGTAGGCTGCATTTTTTAGGAAATTAGGAAAAACTAGTGCGAAACACAGACAGTTTGCGATGAGATGTATTGTGCCGGGCAGTTCTCCTACATTTTCCCAGCGTGCTGCTTTTTGTTGCACTTGCGGCGCTTTGCCTGTCGCTCCTCAACCAGCGCATCAGCCCTCCGTGCAGCCTCAATCAGGGGGCCGCTGCGGCCTTGACCTCCTCGTCGCTGGCCCCTGCAGCCCGCGCTGCATTCTCAGCGGTAGTCACAGCCGCCCACGCCTTGGCCGCCAGCGTCTTCGCATTCTTGGAGCCCAAGGGGCGCCCCCTGCGCTTAGCTGGTGGCGGCTGGTAGTGGCTGTCGGTGGCTGGTGGTGTTGTTGGCTCATGCGATTCTAGCAATAGCTGCAAAACAACAGGGAGGGGCTTTGTGGATTAGCACGGTGAGGCTGGTACCTGGGACATGGCAGGTACTTAAGCTTGCTTTGCCAGACAACAGGTTACCCAATGCGGGCAGGTGCACACTGGCGGAACTCACAATTAAGGCTTCTGCCCCCTCCTCTGCCTTTTTGCGCTCCTCCTCTTCCTTGTTGTGCTCGTCGCGGGTGGAACTCATAAGAACTGACGCGCCAGCCTCAGCGGGGTTGTCATGCTGCGGGTGCTCCCCCACATCTGCCACTGCCGCTGGCCCTGGGACTGACCTTGGAATGGCTGCATCCTTCCGACGCTTGCTGTCCGGCTCATCATTGGCCCGCTCTGCCAGGTTTGCCTCCTCATGTGGCCGCTTCCTGCCCTTATTCACCTGCTCTACTGCCAGCCTGCTCTCGGCTGCTCGCAACCGTGTTGACAGCTCTCCAACCCTGGTAGCCATAAAGGTGACTTTGACTGCTGCCACATCCAGCTGGCGCTTTTGAGAACTGATCTTCGCCATCAGATCATCAATTTTAGGTTGCTGCATTGGTTCAATAAGGCAGCTAACTATGATGCTGAAAATACAATCATAATTTCTTACCAATGGCATGCCTGCACTTCCAGGGAACTGATGTGATGTGATCTTGCACATGTTAACATTACGTGACTGCAGAGGGGGGGAGAGTCACCTTGAGAGGTTGAGCTGTGAGTTCTTGGTGTGCAGTAAGATGGTTGGGGCCCCGGGCCGCCGTCATCGGCGCCATACCACCACCTAGCACATGGCGCGGGTGGAGGCATGGCGCGGGCGGAGGTTAGGGCAAGGATGTGATCATCCCTACCCATGACAATGTTTCTTGAAGCAACCTTAGAGAGCCTGCACATTCTTGCCCCCTGATACAGCTGGGGTTGAAAACCAAACAGCCAAATGCATTGGGCGGGGTAATCCCTGCCACACACACGCACATGTTTTCCATGGAAAACATGTGCGTTGCCTATGTAGGCAACGCCTTCCCAAAATGTATGCTCACCACGCTTAAGCGTGCCATTCCGGTACCCCAGACCGAAATGGAGTGTTGCGAGCATTCCGGCCCGAGCAGTGGCGACAACCCCAAGAATTTACCAGCCGAGCTAGGAGGCGCCTCTCAGGGCTTTGCGATAATGTCGCAAGCGTCTACAAACAATATATAGCAACAGCAGAATGGTTGAAGCAGCTGTCTGCGTTGTTTAAATGCGGTCTATGGAAATTTCGATGCCTTTCTTCCCTGCTCCCTTCCTCCGCACCCTCTTCTAGCTCAGGCGTTGCTACGGTCTTGCGTTATTTTATGGCCGGTGGATTGATTACAAACAAATCGGGCTCACCAGCAACAGCAAACGAGCGAGTGTTTGGGAAGGGGTGGAAGACAGTTGGTGGCCCTAATAATGCAACGGCGCAAGGCCTGGGCATAATTCCGGGTTGGTATGCTACCTTAGCATATTAATCAGTTACTATGGCATAAAGGGAGTGAGGAACTGTAGTTAGCACGCTTGGGAGAGCGGTTACGCTAGTAGAATGGCAGGCGGGAGTGGCGCGCCCGGGGCGCGCCGCGGGTTAGTTGTATGAAACACTGTCAATTAATAAAGTACTGTATGCACGATATTTGACTAAGACTACGGGCACAGAGAAAAGGAAGTAGGCAGGGTTACACCCTGCCCTTTACGGCACCTCTAGCTTCCAATTACACTCCCGTGTTGGTGCAGCAATTTCTGCGAAGCATGCAGGTGAAAGGGATTGCGCACCTGTGCGTCTGGCGATGCGCAAAGCATCTCTGTTGTTCTCACCCGTCTCCTCGTCCACTGTGCGTGTGAGTCCAGTGTGTTACAGAGTGTGTGTACCAATGCAAGCGGGGTGCGAGGGCGTTAGCCGGCGGCGCCAACTGCCGTGCGCAGCGCCAGGCACGATACCAACCCGAGGCGCCCTATGCGGCGGACTTGCCCTGCACACAGTGAGAATGAAGGCTTTGGCGGGAGTGGAAATTGTAACAGAAAAAAAACATTCAGTTCCGCTTTGCGGTTTGTTCCCATCACCCACCTTCTTCTTCGCCATCTTCTTCAAGTAGAACTCAAGCTCACGGCCCTCCAGAATGTAGCCATCGCAGCGGCCGCACTGCAGAAGAAGGCAGGCATGCGTGAGGTGCGGGCCAGCTGCAGGTACGCTGTGGTCACTGCAGCCGCCGCTGAAAAACGCCAGCACAATCCTGGGCTGCTGGTTGCTGAACCAGCGCGCTGCCCCTGCTGGGCATGTGACAACGCCCCTGCTGCTCGACACACATATAGCTGCTGCCCCAGCCTTCGCTGCTGCGTGCTGCACCAGCGTCCGCAACTGCATTGCTAAGGCCCGCGCACCTGGCCCGGGCGCGAGGAGATGGCGGCGTACAGCCGGCCCGTGGCGAACTGGTCGTCCAGGTGCTGGTCCAGCTTGCGGCCCTGGTTGCGCTGCTTGAGCTTCCGCTTCACGTGGTTGCTCTGCGGCGCGGCGGCCTCCTCGCCCTCGGCGGCGGCGGCGGCGGCGGCGGCGGCGCTCTTCTTCTTCTGCCCCACCTCCAGGCCGTAGTGCTGCTGGTACCACTGCTTGAAGGGCGCGGCGTCAATCTGGATGATGGCGCTCTTCACCAGCGTCTGGGTGCGCACCTGCAAGGGGCAGGGACCAAGGGGCAGGCGGTCGGCAGAGGGGCCGGCGACTGCACCAGCACCGTCCCCATTGCTCCGTCCCCATGCCCCCGATCTGTCGCTGCCATGGCTGCCACTGGCGCTGCACAGAGGTCTGCCTAGGCTGCCTGTGTAGACTCGGCACCACGCTGGCGCTTTCTTCCACCAAGGCTGCCAGCTCTCTACGCCACACCACACACAAACCAAGCTGCGCCTGATCCCCGCCGCTGGCTGCACGCAGGGTTTGGGCTGGTGCAAGGCAGGCGCACTCCGATGGCAGCCGCTGCGCCCGGCACAGACGCAGGCAGCAAGGGGAGATGGGCAGCAGCAGCAGGGGGCGCACCAGCTCGTTGTTGGAGGCGTTGTAGCTCACATCCAGGATGCGGACCTTGCGGGTCACAGCCTGCACCCAAGCGCACACGCGATGAGCAGTCAGCAGGCTTGCGCGCCCCACTTCTCGCCCCACTTCTCCTGCTGTGTCGAGTCGGGGCTGGCGCGCAGCCGTTGGGCCTGCTGCCACCATCGCAGCACATGCACTTGCGCTGCCCCCTCGGAAGCAGCCATGCATGCAGCTGGTTGCGTGCACGAGCGGCGCGGCCCGTCGTCGCTCGTCCGCGCTGACCACACGCCGGCATGCCCCCTGCCGGCGAAAGCCTCCCTGCTACCCATCCACGCCGCCACAGAGAGCCTCCCCGCTGCAGCGAGCCGTGCTGCTTGGCCCCCCGGCCCCCCCCATGTGCGGCGGCATGGTGGGGTGCTGCTCCAGCGGCTCGCTGCCCGTGCTTGGCAAGCCAGGCCGGCTGGTAAGCGCACCTCGGAGCCCCAGGAGAAGTTGCCGTGGTCCAGACGCAACGCGCGGAACTTGGAGTTGCCGCCACGCACGCGCACGCGGCGCACGCACACGTTGGAGGACAGCTTGGTCATCGCGGGCTGGCGGCCCAGCTCATACCTGCACCACGGCGCCAGCGACGGCGGCGGCGGGCCATTGAGCGGGCCCGACGCCGCTGATGCCCTAGCCCTTGCCCTCCCGTGTGAGCGCACGCAGCAGGGGGATCATCTGCCGACTGAGCCTGCCAGCAATCCCCTGGCCGCCCCTGCAGGTTCGCCGCCCGCCCCCCGCGGCGGCCGCTCCTGGCAGCACTCACTTCCGCTTCTTGCGCCAGGGCTTCTGCTTGCCGCCCGTGGCGCGGCGCTTGTGCAGCGAATCACGGGAGATACCTGCAATAGCAGGAGGAGGGGCGAGGCCATGTCATGCGGGCCTGCTGCTACAAGCTTCGTCGTCCATCCTTTGGCTGGTTCCTGGCTGTCCCACCCCAGTGCGAGGCGCCACGTTCCACGCTGCATGCTGCCGCCCCGGCGATGCGCATCACCCCCGCCCTCGCTGCTCAGCGCTGCCTGTGGCCTCACCCATGGTTGCCGCACTCCCTCCCCGGCTACCTGAAAAGGACAGGAGGCGCGCAGAGCCCTGGGCTTGGCGTGCCATTTCCTGCCGGGGTCGCGTGGCACCAGCCCGCACAACCGGGCGCGGTTGGCAACGTATTCGCACAGTTCAAAGCTCCTGCATCATTGGCTTGCAATCGCCACCGCGCTCTTCCATTCAAGCTTGGCGAAATGGCGTGCCTCCGTCGGCTGCTGCTGGGGTTTGCGGCAACCGTTCGGGGAGCAGGCGCCCTCCAATCAGCAGAGTCCTTGGCAGGCGGCCTCCAGGCCGCTGCCAGATGGGCCGCAGGCCCCGCGGCGCCAAGAAACTCTGGCGCCGCCTCTAGTGCGGCTGTTCTGGCGGCAGCTTGCAGCAGCAGCGGCGGCGGCTGCATCGGATTACGGTGTCTGCCATGCTTCCACACAACTGCAGCATGTCGGCCCGTGCTGGGCGGCAGCCGGGCGGCGAGCATAGCAGCGGCAGCCAGCGCTCTCCAAGGAAGGTCGGGAGCGCCTTCCATATGGCACAGGCGAGCGCCGTTGCTACCCCAGCAGCAATTCGCCTCCCAGCAATTTCGCGCGCGCACCACCTCAGCACACCTCGTGCCCAGGTTCCGCGGCGGCAAGGTCAAGCCATACTCGTGAGTCGCTGCAATGCACGTGGTGCCACTATTAGGCGTGGCCAGCCCCAATTAGTATGGCCATGGCTGCTGGCGTTGCACGCCTGCTTTGCCCGCTGCCCTCCTCTTGCCTCACCCCTGCCTGCCCATGCCCTGCCGCCCAGGTCCTACAAGCGGCGATTCAAGCTGACAGCCACCGGCAAGGTGCTGTACCCGCGGCCAGGCCACGTCCACAAGCGCTTCAACAAGACCAAACGGCAGCTGTTTGAACTGAGCGGGATGCAAGTCATGAAGCCGCGATACGCCAAGACGGTCAAGAAGATTGGCTTCAAGCTGCGCCACTTTTAGGCTGGCAGCGCTTGCCGCCCCTCCCACCACCTACGGTTGTAACGTGTGCGCTAGCTGAGCTGACAGCGATAAGTCACACGAGGTGTCGACAATCACATGGTGGAAGTGCAAAGGTCACTGAAAGCAGGCAAGGGTCTTCATGAAAAGGATACGGAGAAAGTGAGTACACGCAGACACCACTGGCAAGTGAAAGCAGAGCAAGGGGAATGGCAAGACACAAGGGAGCGACATGGCGACATGGGTGGAGCTTGGCCAGCCCACATCCCACTGCTTAGGGAGGAGGTGCTCCGCTCACTCCACAGGGCACAGCAGCTCCAGGATGGCGTAGAACTCCTCGCTGGTGAAGCTGAGGCTGGCCAGCAGGCGGTTGAGGCGGGTGATGCCGTCCCGCGTCTCAAACGCCTCGCGCAGCGCTGGGCAGCGCTCCAGGGACAGCGCCTTGAGGAACAGCACCGCCACCACCTGCCACTGGCTCGCCTGCGGGCGGGCGGGCGGCAGCGCGTGCGCGCCGTGGGAGCCAGGGGGCCATGCATGGCGAGAGTGCGCCAGCCAGCCGGGGCGCAAGCAGCTGAAAGGCTGGCCACAGCCTGTGCTGGCACAGCTGGCTCACCTTGAAGGCCGGCAGCGGGCCCACCAGGCGCAGCGTGCGCAGCAGCTCATCCAGGCTCCGCTCCACCTGGCCGCGAGCTGCGGCGGCCTGCAGCCCCGCACACACGGGCGGCAGCGCCGCCGACAGGCAGCGGCTCAGCGCAGCCAGCACCTCTGGCGAGGTGGGCGGCGGCAGGGCGAGCTCGGCGTCGGGGCCCGAGGCCAGAAGCTCCGCTGCAGCAGTGGCGCAGCCATGCCGGCGGCAATCAGCGGCGGCGTGGATCCAGCACCTGGCAGCAGTGCCGGCTTGCCCAAGCCCCCAATCCACCCATCTGTTGCTGAACAAACGAAAAGGCACATGCCAGAATAGCAGCACACGTGCCCCCCACACACATGGATGGGCTGCCTGCCCAGCAACCTGCACCCCTCCTTGCATGCATTGTGGTACTGCCGCACATGCCTCTTCGGCCCACCTGTGCTAGACGTGACCCAGGCCTCTAGGTGCGTGAAGAAGGTGCCAAAGAAGGAGAGCTGCAGGCGGAAGCCCGAGCGAGCGCCTGGCGACTCTGCCTCATCACTCGAACTGAAGCCAGGCAAGGAAGGCCAGGCAGGGAAGGGAATGCAGCAGCGGGGCGCTTTAGCACCAGGGCATCGCTTCACTGCACCATCGCTTCAACCATGCGCCAGGTGCGATGCATACCACAGCACCCATCCCAGCGCCAGCGCCGCGCCGCAGCCCCACCTTGCGCCAGCCTCCTCTTCGCTTTCCATCCACCCCTCTGAGTCGGCCGCCTCGCTGTCAGTCTCCGAGTCTGATGCCAGAGCAGCCTGGAGCTCGGGGGGCAGCGCCGCCGACAACTGCGGGAAGGCGTGCTGCAGCTGCTCCGCCTGACGCTTGGTCAGCCCGGCCTGCTGGGCGGTGGGCGCTGCCTGCTCCTGCTCTGGTGCCTGCCCTGCTTGCAAACTGCTGCTGCCATCGAGCGAGGCTTCCCGCCCTCGAGGCTGGTCCCTGTCCGGCGTGGACGGTGGCTGCTGCTGCTGCTGGGCTGGCTGGCTGCTCAGCCGGCTGCTGGGGGCACGCGGGAGGCCTGGCGGAGGGCTGGAGAGCCGCCGGCGTGGCATATGCGCCTGGGGCGGGCTGGCTGCGGCCATGGCAGCCAGGTTGCCGCTGCTGCTGCCTGGGCTGGCAAACGAGCCTGCCAGGCTGCTGCTGCTGCCCACAGGGCTGTGCGCATAGAACTGGGGCACCTCACGCCACTCACGCGGCACCGCAGCGCTGGCGCCGCCGCTGCTGTTGCCCAAACCGCGCTGCTGGATGTCAATGCTGGTACTGGAGGTGTTGTGATTGGGCAGCGGGCGGGGCGGCGAGGGGCCAGCTGCAGCGGCAGCAGCACGAGGCTGGGGCTGGGGTGGGGCCACCGCGGCGGGCAGCTGTGCCGCATCAGCCACGTATAGGCGCCCAAACTGGGCCGCCAGGCCCTTGCTGCCTTGTCCCAGAGTGCTTTTGGCATTTTGCTCAACCTCAAACACAAGCACGCTGCCAGGGGATGCTTGGGTTTGAGGACCGGGGCTGGAGCCGCCGCTCGCAGGCAACGCCGCCGAGCCTGCTGCGCTGCTGCTCGCGCCTCCTGCCGCGGCAGCTGGGGGCTGCGAGGCGCTGTCGGCGTCGCTGCAACCAGCGTTGCTGCCGCTGCCGCTGCCGCCGTTCGCGGAAGCGCTGTCTGCCGCCGTTGCATTCGCCGGGCTGCCCGCGCCACCTGCTGCTGCGGTCTGCCGCCCGCCCTCCTTTGCATTCTCCTTCCGCTCCCCCTTTGCTGCCGCCTCGCTCGCTTCAGTGTCATCAGTGAAGCGCACCCGCCGCTGCCGCTGCCGAGGCGTGCTGCCAGCACGCGGCACATAGCCCTCCACTGCCGCTGCAGCCTTGCTGCTGCCGCCGCGGCCGGGCTGAAGGCCGCGGGCAGTCTCTGCAGCCACAATGCTGGGTTCCCGCTCCTGCACAGGCAGCATCAGACGCCCCGGCTACAACTCAGGTTGCCTGCTCTTGCTGCCGTGACTCCCCCAGGCTGGCGCAGGGCACATGTCGCTGCAGCAGTTGGCTGGCAGACCCATCCGGCGACGCACCCGACAGCTCCCTTTCTGACCTATATCACCCTGGCCCCCCGGCCCCCAGCCAGCTCTGTGGGCTGCTGCGGCGCTGCTCCAGGCCTTCCCCCTCTCACCTTGACCTCTGCCAGCATGATGGGAACCTTGGCGGTGCCTGCAGCAAACTGCGACTGCTTCTTCAGCACGCCCTTTGGCTTTGGGGGCGGCGCAACGCCGTCGGCGGCCGTGGCGCGTGGCTTGGGCTTGCGGCTGAAGTCGCCAAACTGGCCTGCGCTGCTCCCGATGTGCTTCACCTTGTGCACCTGCTCCACCTCTAGCCGCGGCACCAGATCGGCGCTGCCCCAGATGCTGCCGAGGCCGCCGGCGCTGGCGCCTGGAGCTGCCTCTGCTGCTGCTGCTGCTGTCGTCTCTGCTGCCGGCGGCGAAGGTGCAGCCTGGGCATCTGGCAGGGCCGCAGCCGCTGCCTGCTGCTCCTGCTGCCGCTGCTGCTGGCCCTGCCGTACCAGCTGGTACATTGCGGTGAATCGCTCCAGCGCCAAGGCGCCGCTGCCCAGCCGCGCCGCAAAGCGCCTGACAGCTGCCTCGCAGTCAGCGCCGCAGTACAGCGGCATGTCGTCGGCGCTGTCCTGGCCAAGCACCGCCTGCGAGGTGCTGCTGCGGTGGCGGCCGCTGCCGCCGTCCTGCTGCCCGCGCGGCGGGCGCGAGCACAACGGGTTGCCGCACTTGCCCGCTATCGCACGCTCCTCGGCTGCCTGCATGCGGGGTTGGCGTGGGGCGGGTGGGTGCATGGGGCGGGGCAGGCCAAACGTTTGGGCCGCTGGAAGAGGAGGAGGGATGGGTGCAGCAAGGTTGGACAGCAGGCTGGCTCTGGGCCAGGGTTGGGGCACCAGGAATCTCCCCCTTGCCTGCTCATACTCTTCGCCGCACATCACACGCGCCACTGTCCACAGCTGTGCCTCGCTGCCAGCTCCCTGCTCCATCAGCCTGCGTGTCGCAACAACAGGGTGCAGGGCGGTGGCAGCAGCAGCAGCAGTGAGCACACCCTGGATCTCCTGCATGGGCCGCACAGCAGGAGAGGGCGAGTATGGAGAGAGCACTAGCCGCGCCGCGCACCTGTCGCACGCACGGAAGGCGGCGCGGGAGCGCAACTCGGGCAGCGTGGCAGCTGGCGCCCGCCGTCGGCGCTGCTGCGCGCCATCCCTGACGGGTAGGCTGCCTGCTGCTCCCTTCCCTGCTCCTCCTGTGGCCGCTTGGCTGCCCTGCATGGTCTCCGGGTGCTCTGCCGCCGCGGGTGGCATGCGCCGCTAGGTCCCCACTTTCGGGGTCTACGATATCCAGACTTAGGCCCGATAATGCGAAAGACACAGTAGGGCACCGGAGAGACCAGGTGAGCTGCAAGACAGGGTTCGGCTCAGCGGCCACACCTTTGCCAGCTTCCCAATTTGCAACACAAAGAGCTTTAAATGAAGCAATACTCATCCTCGTGCTCAGCTATCGAGGCTCATCTGCACCTGCAAAGCATGCAGCACTATGCCCCCGCCGCCGCCGCCACATGCAGCTCTTCTAACAATTAAGTCTGGAAATGTTAAAGCAAAGCAATATGCGGGTGCTACAAAAGAATAAAGGTGTCACAAGCCAGGGAGAGGTCAGGCCACCGCCTCCAGCTTCTTCTCAGGTGCCGTAAACCCCATGCCGTTCACAACCGGCACACACCGCTCGCAGAGCTCAGGGTGCTGCTCATCGCTGCCAACGTGTGTGCTGCAACAGAGGTGGCACGAGAGGATGCCTCAGTCACTCGGCGGGAGCACTGGATACAAACTGTACGAAATCGCAGATGATGTACTGCGGCCCTGCCGCCGTCCAAACGCTCCACAGAACCACCCCACCACGGTGGCCATGCCCTCCCCTCCCCTCCCCTGCCCACCTGTAGTTCCAGCAGCGGTTGCACTTGCGGCCGTCGGCGCGCGCCACGCCCACCGTCACCTCCGACCCGCCCGCCTCCTCCAGCACCGCCGTGGCGCTGTAGGCTGCCCCCTCGGCGGCCGCCGCAGGCGATTCCACCAGCTGGGCTTGACTGACGATGAAGGCGTAGCGCAGCGGGTCCATGCCATTGCCAGCAGCCTGCAGCGCCTCCAGCTGTGCCCGCAGCTCGGGGCAGGCCACATGCAGCAGCACCTGCATTGCCGAGTCGCGGGGCCCGGGGGCGGGCAAGGAGGCAGGTAAATTTGGAGCCAGGTAGGGTATGTACCGCCGGCCAGCCATCCAGCAAGCGGCTGTATCTCTGTCCCTGCCTCTCTCTTTTTCTCTATATATCTCTGTCTCCCCATACAATGAGGGCACCAACCTTGGCCTCCAGCGATGCCCCAAGCGCCTTGTCTGCCCGCGCCTTCTCCAGCAGCAGGTTGATCTCGGAGCGGATGCCCAGCACAGCGCGCCACAGCATGGCATCCGCCTCGGGCAGTTGCCGCCACTCGTCGGGCACAGCAGCCCAGCCCGCTTGGAACACTGCATGCAGAGACGGAGAGGGCAAGGCGGGTCGATGACCTGCGTCAGCGCAGCAAGCCAGCAGGGCCGGCAAGGGGATTCCCAGCATGGACTGCCCAGCATGGCCGCAGCAGCCAGCCACCCCAGGCAGCAGCGCTGGCTCTCCATGCAGCAGAGGCAGGTGGCTGCCAAGAGAAACCACCGGCGCAAAGCGAGCAGGTGGGCCGGCGCCCTGCGCATCACGCCCACAGCCGCCCACCCGACTGCTCCTGCCGCTTGTACGGCAGGTTCTGCCACGCATCCTCCGCCATGTGCGGCAGCAGCGGCGCGATGACCGGCAGCATGCCCTCCAGCAACGCCGCCAGCACCGTCTGGCACGCGCGGCGGTCGGGGGCGGCGGCGGCGCTGATGTACAGCCGGTCCTTGGCCACATCCAGGTAGAAGTTGGACAGGTCCAGTACCGTGAAGCGCTGCAGCGCCTGGTACACCCTACGGCAGCGCGCAGGGAGGAGCCAGGGAGAGGCAGGGGTAGGTGGGTGGTCAGCGACGGGCGGCAGTCAGAGACGGGGTGAACATCAAAAGCAACATGCCCGTGGCGCCTCCATGCGTCCCCTCCCACCGCAGGCCCCATCCCTGGCGCCCACTGCCGGACCAGAGCTCACTTGTAGAATTGGTAGCTGCCGTAGGCGGCGGAGCACTCGTCCACCAGCGCGGCAAAGCGGGCCAGGATGTAGCGGTCCGCGGCGGCCAGCTGGGCATGCGGCACCGCGTGGGCGGCGGGCTCAAAGTCGGCCAGGTTGCCCAGCAGGTACCGCAGCGTGAAGCGCATCTTGCGGTACACGTCAGCCACCTGCACCATGCACAGCGCCAGGGCAGCCTCACACGCGGGCAGCAGGAGCGGCGCGACAAGCACGCGTGTCACCTCTGCCCGCCACGCGCGATTTCACTCGGCCCCACAGCAGTGCGCGATGAGCCAAGGGGCAGGTCGGCGTGGCTGCCGCCGCGGCCGCCTGCTGCCGCCACCCCGGCCGCCGCCGCACCTGCCCAATGATCCTGCCGCCGATGAGCACGTCGCTGGAGTAGTCCACGCTAGAGACCCACAGGCGCAGCACGTCGGCGCCATAGGGCGGCTCCTTCTTGGCATCCTTGCCGCCCAGCATCACCACCCGGGGGTCAATGACGTTGCCCAGGGACTTGCTCATCTTCATGCCTGCGTAGGTGGCAGGTGAACATGTGGACATTTTGGGTGCTATTGTTGTTAGATCACAACATTGCTGGCTGAGAAAGGGCGCTGCCGGGCATTCTGCCGCCAACCATTGTTGGGTTGCAGGGTTGCAGGCTCAGGCGGAGCCACTGGAAAGAATGGCAGGGGCGCCGGGCCAGGCAGCAGGCTCACCCTTGTCATCCAGAACAAAGCCGTGGGTCAACACCTGCTTGTAGGGCGCGTGCCCGTTGGCCGCCACGCTGGTCAGCAGCGACGACTGGAACCAGCCGCGGTGCTGGTCAGAGCCCTGCAGGGAGGGTGGGCCAGCAAGAGCAACCCGCGGTTGGCAGCGCCGCTGCACAGGCAAGCCGTATGCCAGGCGTGTGCACTCAACAGGCTCTGGCTGTGCGGCAGGCTCCCTGCGCTGCCAGGAGGGCAGCACAGGGGCAGGGGAGGCAGGGCAGGTGCCCCAGCCCACCTCAAGGTACAGGTCTGCCGGGTAGTTGAGCGCCTGGTCGCCTCCCAGCACCCCCGCCCAGCTGCTGCCGCTGTCAAACCACACATCCATCGTGTCCTCGCCCTTGCGCAGCTTGCCTGCCTCTGCGGCAGCAGCGGGGGCAGCAGTGGGGTCGGCGGCAGGGCCGGCAGCGGGGCCATTCCACGTGTGGACAGTCGGCCTGCATGGTCATGCCACGGCAGGCGTGCAGGCAGCGAGGCCGGGCCGTAGCCGCCCGCACCTGGCCTAAGGTGCTCCGGCAGCAGGTCCGCAACATCCATCTCCCACCAGGCGTCGCTGCCGTGCTCCGCCACCACCTGGGTGACGTGCTGGATGGTCTCCTCGGTCAGCAGCGGCTCGCCTGCGGGCAGGGCAGCGGGCGGAGGCTCGGCCCACAGCGGCGGCGCAGCAGCAATAAGGAAACCAATGTGAGGAGCACATGGCAAGGCAAGGCAAGGCAAGGCCTGCATTGTGCGCCCCACCTGAGTCGGTGTAGTAGAACACCGGGATGGGCACGCCCCACTTGCGCTGCCGAGAGATGCACCAGTCGGAGCGCCCCTCTGTCATGGCGGTGATGCGGTTTTCGCCGGCGGCGGGGATCCAGTGGGCCCCCTGGATTGCCTCCAGCGCGGCGGAGCGGAAGCCTTCCACCGAGGCAAACCACTGCGGCAGCAGCAGCAGAAGTAACAGCAGCAGCAGCGCATGGGTCTGTACCAGGGCAGGCAGCGCTTGTGAGCAACACGGAGCCGGACGAAGCGTGTGCACCATTGCAGCTCAGCACCACCAAGTGTGTGCATAGCCGCTGCCGCAGCAGCTGCCCAGCACACACCAGCCTGCTCGCACCCACGCCTCCGCACACAGCCCCTAGACTCCACCACCAATATGGCGCATGCAAGCGCACCTGGTCGGTGGCCCGGAAGATGGTGGGCTTTTTGGTGCGCCAGTCGTACGGGTACTTGTGCGCGTACCGCTCCTCCATCAGCAGCACGCCCGCAGCCGCCAGGGCCTGCAGGGCAGGCAGGCGTGCACGTGTGGGCTGGTGTGTGGCACAGAGGGGGGGGCGCCTGGCTGCCTGTGTCTGCCTGCCTGCCCGGCCGCCTGCCTGGATGGCAGCCAGCCTGCCGTGCCTGGGCCAACTTGCACCGCTCCTGCCGCCTGCCCTGTGACACAACCCCATGCAAGGGCAGGTGCTACGGGCGTACCTTCACCACCGCATCGTTGCCATCCCCCTGCACCTGCAGGCCCGCAAAGGGGCCTGCCTCGTCTGTGAACACGCCTGCATCGTCCACGGGCGACAGCAGCGGCAGGCCGTACTTCTGCCCAACCTGCACCCACAAAGAGAGCCGAGATAGGCAAGGCAGCAGGTCGTTTGAAAAGGGTTGGCGGAGGAGGCGGGGTGGGGCCTGGGCCAGCTGAGTGGCTGGGTCCCACCTGGTAGTCCTCCTGGCCGTGGCCGGGGGCCGTGTGCACCAGTCCTGTGCCCGACTCAGTGGTGATGTAGTCGCCGCCAGCCACCACCGGGCTGGTCCGGTCAAACAGCGGGTGGCGGTAGCTGCAGCCCTCCAGCTCAGCACCTCTGCACAGAGGCAGGCGCAACCAGAGCATGGGTGCAGCACAGTTCAGATACCAGTGCTAATGCCGTGGTTTGCCTGGCACGGCTTTCAACTTCGTGTTGGAAGAACGGCAGGGTTGCTGCTTGTTCCACTCACTTGACCGTGCACAGCGTGGTCAGAGCAATGCCAAACTTCTCTGCCAGCGAATCCGCCAGGTCAGCAGCCACGATCAACCGCCGCACGGTCCACCCCTCTGGCAGGTCTCCCTGGGGGCAGCACGGGGAGGCAGCCAAGAGGGACGCCGGCTTAAGATGGTCGTAGGGATGCGGTGTTGCTGCCTGATGTTACGCCTGGCCTTTCTTGGCATCTGCCTGCATGCCAAGACCGGCGTCACACACATGCCAGCACCCAGCAGGCGCCGCCCGCAGCATCCGCCTGCCTGCCCACCTGCACCTCCACCACTGCATACTGCAGGTCGGCATTGACTGCCACAGCCAGGTTGGCGGGGATGGTCCAAGGCGTGGTGGTCCAGATGCCAAAGTGAGCCCCCTCCAGGGCGGCGCCAGCAGCCTCAGGGGCATTTGGGCCTGCACGGGAGCATGCCAGTGGCAGCCGAGCAGTCGTTGGACCGCCCTCGCACAGCCAGCTGCCTTGTCTGCTGGGCATGCGGCAACAGGCAGGCACCCACCCACAGCCTGCAACGGCATGGCCACATAGATGGAGCAGGAGGTGTGGCCCTTCTGGGTATTCGAGCTCT